GTCCCCGATTCTTGCGACCCCATGGACCGGGGCACACCAGGCCCACCATGCTTCCTGGCGTTCGCCCAGTTTCATGTTCATTGCTTCAGTGACTCCGTCCAGCCACCTCCTCCGCGGCCGCCCCTTCTCCTCGGCCCTCAATCGTTCCCAGCATCAGGCTCTTCTCCAGGGAGTCCTTCCCGCTCACTATGTGGCCGGAGTATTTGACCTTCAGCCTCAGTATCTGCCCTTCTAAAGAGCAGTCAGGGTTGATTTCCTTTCAGATTGACTGGTTTGGTTTCTGCCCTTTCTCCAACACCAAAGGCTCTCAATACTCCCCACTTTATCTAGCTTTTGGGTGAGTTTCTGAGTCCTTTTGCCACCGCTGCCGCCCCTTCAGCCCAGCCCCAGGCCTAAGGAAAAGGGAGTCTGTCCAGAGCCAGAAGATGCAGCCTCTGCTTGCAGCACCTTGTGAAAGAGCCGGGAAGGCGCAGGGCAGCTTCGCTCGGCAACGGTGCAGTCCTGCATGCGGAGCCACGTCAGTGAGAAACCCCCGTGCAGGCAAGGCAGCCGAATGTCCAGATTTTCAGGGAAACGGCACTTGAAATGGACCCGAAAGTTCATGCGTGTGCTAAATAAAGCTGGGGGTAATCAGAGCTTTAATGTGACCAAAGGCAGCGGATCATAATTCTTCGGAAGAAAAGAAGGGGATCTGCTGAAAGGTTTGTCCCCTCCCCAAATCCATCGCAGTATCAAGCAGATGAAACCACTGGCTACAGGGAAGAGAGAAGAAATGGAAAGGAAAAGGGAAAGGGGTGGCTGGGGAGAGTCATGGAAAGGGGCTGCATGCACATACACCCCATTTAAAAGATGGCAGGGAGAGGCTGCAAATCCACGCAAAATTAGCACATGCTGTTTTATCTCTTTATTTATAAATTGAGAAGTCATTACTGGAAATTATTAAATTTCACTGAAGGCAAAGGGAGCCTGTGAGTATCTCACTGAAAGTGCCTCAGATGAGGTTCTCCCAGTAATGATAATTGGCTCCCAGCTCCAGCTCTTCCCAAACTAGCCATGACTCTTTCCTGAAAGGCAGCTGGGAATCGTGTGGGAAAATGCCAAGCGAGAGCGACCGAGCCCTTTGACCCAAGCACGCGCATGTAGCTAAAATGACGCATTTGGTACCAAAATGGAGGGCCGAAACGTCAACATGCGTGCTAAAACCAGTGAGTCTCTCCCAGTTCTTTCCCCCTCCCCTCCTGACCCTGCTCCGAAATTCAGGGGAAGCTTCCTTTCATCAGCCATCGCCTGCGCATCTTGTCTTCAGAATAAAATGAAGTGCTCACTTCTGGGATGGCTGGAGAGTGGGGCAGAGAAGGTGGGGGGCAGGAGGAAGGCGGGTCGAGAGAGGCTGCAACAGAGAACAGGTTGCTGTATTCAGGACGGAAGGGGAAGGCCGGCCCTCAAACTGGGTTGTGCGCTCCCTCTGGATGCCGTCCCAGCTGTTAAGGTGCTGTCCCTGTGGCTGAACCCCTTGAAGAGCTGCATGCCATGGTGAGCTCCTTCGAAGCCTGGCATGAAATCCAGAGCGGGTATCCAGCTGTCCTGGCACTGGAAGGACAGTAAAACCACCAGACAGTGCCCAGGTTTTGCAAGTGGCATGCACATTATGGACTCCATAATTTCCCTAGAAAGAGTTGGATCCAGATCCCGGACCGGATCATACAGCTGCCTCTGAGGAGGAGTACACCTCCCTCGGTGCAGCCACCCAGACGTCGTCCAGAGGCAGCATGTGGCCAGGCCACTGAGTGGAGCCCATCACGCCAGCGCGGCTGATGCCTCTGGGGGGTCTGGAGTTCCGGCAGGCTCTGCCGCGCCCTTGTCTGTGCTGAACCTGCTGTGGCTTCATGAGCCAAGCTGTGTCTTGCTCGCAGGCATGGCAGAAGGATCGGTTTCTTTGATGGCTGTAGCTTGCAGATGCAGATCCCATCAGAGTTTGGAGGAGGGACAGAGAGAGACGGAGAGAGACCAAGCAAGAGCGCCAGAGGAATGGGCACAGGGCACGTGGGTCTGCGAGGTCGGGCTGCAGCAAGCAGCCTTGGCGTGCAGGGGCTCCCGGGCAGGTCCGGCAGGGCTCTTTCCCACGCGGCCGTGCCAGCCGTCGTTCTTTCTCTTGGCTCTCTGTGCTCTGCTTGACTTCTTCTGGGGGCAGCAGCTCCTCGGCACTTGCAGTGCAAAAGAATGCGAACTCGGGGAACCGCAGCTCCTTGGAAGGGGGTTCGCCACTTTGCCAGCGGTGCTCGGCCCCGTCTCCTCAAGCCCTTCCACACCCTCCTGCTGCAGACGAGGCCCGACCCACAGTGGGTGCGGCTCATCGTGTTTCCTCGTGGGTGGGGGTGGGCCTGGTGGGCCGGGCTGGCTTGCAGCCGCCCCAGGAAGCCCACCAGTCTGTGTGGGAACTGGGTGTGCGTGTTTGCATCTCTAGCGGGTCAGATGTGCGGCTGGTGCCTGGCAGCTGACAAGGGCTGATTCTGAGATCGCTGCATCGGCTGCCAGGGAGCTGCCAGGCCCATTTCGAGGGGAGGCTGTGATGGCTCTGGAGGAAGGCCCTTGAAGGACGGCCTCTCCCGTGCTGGCCACCCCAAGAGCGAAGAGCGGCCAAGGAGGATTTGTGTGGCGCCCGTGAGGAGCGGAGCCTGCGAGCTGCGACACGAGGCAGGGCTTTCCTGGTGGTGGCCCCCAGCTCTGCTCTGGTCGAGGGCCTGCTGCACTCCACGCGACCGCCATTTAGATGCCAGAGCGAGGTGGCTGTAACTGCGCAGGCTTTGAAGGCAGGGATGGAGGGTCTGCTTGGCTTTGTTTCATTGAGGGTAAGCTGGTGCTTGTGGAATGTTATGGCACGCCGGTGATTCTAAAGGTGGGGTCGAAATGGTGCCCGCCTGCCAGGCTGTTCTAAACAAGCAGTTAGCCGTTCAGATATTAATGACTGAGTAAAACTGGGGAGTGGAAAATCTTTCATCTGTTTGAGGGTGAAATAGTTACAGCCTATTTAAGGGCCATCATGCCCCAGACCGGAGCAGGGGCTCAGCGCGGGGCGGCCTGGGGCTGTGAAAGTGCTGCCGAGGGGCCTGCCAAATTTTCCAGGCGGGTGTGGGGCAAGGGTCAGGTGCTCTGGAGCAGACCGGGGTGTTGCACTGTGCCCCCTTCCAGCAACAGCCCGTGGGGGGACGAGGCTTCTGCTCCGGCGTGCCAAGATGGGGAGCTGCAGGGGGACCGGTCCCTGCATGCGCAGGCCTTCCCTGCAGAGGGCCTCCAAGCCTTCCGGGGGCTCTCCGCGCTGCTGAAGGCCATCCTCAGAGCCGTGGATCGTTCCTGGAAGGCTCAGAATAAAACCCACAGTGGGCAAGGAGCCCTCCTGACATAGGCACTGTGGGTGCTGTCGAAGGCCCCCAGGTGGGGGGCTCCTGAGCTGGAGGGGGACTGCCCTGTGCGGAGTGGCCACCCCGCCACCCTCCGGGGAGCCCCGATCGGCCCGGATTGATTCAGCTCTGTGCGAACGCACATGCCCCCAGCTTCCCCTGACGTTCTGCGCAGGCTGCTTGCCCTGACTCGGCCTTCCTGCTCTTGCCAGCTCCGCGCCTTGCGTTCCGCTCAAGCTCCCCGCAGTTCTGAGGGCCCGTTCGGTATCAGGCAGGCAGCCGGAGGGCAGCGAGTGCTGCAGGCCGGTGCGGAAATGCAGGCGAAGCACCTTTGAGCAATGCGTCAGGATCGGCGGGCAGCCAGAGCCGGTGCAGCAAGGAAAGGCTTGGGGCACACGCTGCCGCCGCGGTGAGCCTGCACGGCTGATCTGGCCTTCCCGGCAAACGGGACAAGGCCGGGCGGCTCGCCTGGGCAGCAGGGCCCCTTTGGGTGCTGCCTGCGCCCGCACGGGGCACTGCCGCCTGGGACCCGGCCCGGGGCTTCAGCCAGAGCGCGCCTCAAGGGCACGGCTGGCGGGCGGTGCGGCCGCCCTGGCAGGCTCTTGGGCGAGGGACGCAGTTCTTCCCGCCATCCTCACCCAGCTGCGTCCAGTCCCAGGAAGGGAGCTTTTAAGCAGGCAGCTGCGTTCCGCGGGACAGGCCAGCGGGTTCTCGAAGCCGAGGGGAAGGGATGGAGGAGCGAGCCCAGGCCCTGCCGGAAAGCGCACCTGCGGGGGTGTGGTGAAGCCAGGCTCCCGGCGCCCAAGAGCTGGCCACGGCTCATCTGCAAGGGAGGGGGGACGACCGCTGCCCCCCCCGCTCCCCCGCCACCTCCGCGCCCCGCTCCCCTCCTGAGGAGAGGTGGCGTTCGGCCAAGCGAGCGCCCAGCTGCGCACGGAGGAGCGCCGGGGCTGGAGCGCGGCGGTGGCGGCCGCCTTGCTAGCTTGAACCGGCCCGACCCGGCCCCTCCGCCTGGGCACACGCCGGGGACGCCTATGTGCGGAAGACGCCCGCAGATGGCTCTCCGGCCTGTGCAGGTGGACACTCGCCATGTCGGGGTCTTCCAGAAGCCCCCCCACCCCTCCCCCGGTACGCGCACCTCTTCATGCAAGTGATCGCGCGTGGGAGGGAGAGCTGAGCAGAGCCAGGGGGCTCCTTGCGCGCCGCTCTTCCCGCCCTCCAAAGAGAATCGCCTCGACGGAGAGGTGGAGCGGGCGCAGCGCACCCGGGAGAGCGCAAGATGCGGCTCTCGGGCCCATCGCGGGGCTGCCTCCCGGCCAGGGCCCCACAGGCCCGCCGCGATCCGCCCGCCCTTCCGCGGGCGCCCTTGGTTTCGGGGCCCGCCCGCCCTTCCCGCGCCCGCCCGGCAAGGCTTGCAAGGGCGCCGCCGCCGCCGCGGAGGAGCCTCCCGCGCCGGACCGAGGCGGGCCGGTCCCCCCCGCCCCGTGAGCCGCGCGCGCCTGGCGCAGCCAATCCGCTCGGGCGGGGCGGGGCGGGGCGGGGCGGGGCGCGCCGCCTACAAAGGCGAGCGGCGGAGGCGGCAGCCGCAGAGGTGGCAGGAGTCGCCTGCCCGCCCGTCCGGCCGTCCGCGCCATGCCTGAGAGCTGGGATGGGGTAGGTACCGCGGAGCCGGCGCAGCCGGGGAGGGCGCTCGCGGTGCGCTTGGCGGCGGGGTCCGCCCCCTCCGGCTCCCCGGGGCCTGAGGAAGGGGCACCCCTCCGCTTGCCCGGGCAGCCCTCGCCGTGCCGCGGGGTGGTGGGTCCCCTTCGAGGCATGACAGGAACGGGGAGGGCGGATCCAGGCCCTGCCCCTGCCCCTGCACACCAGCCACGGAGGAGGCCTCTGTGGGCACCGAGGGGGCAGGAAGGGCTCCCTGCACGTGCTCCAGCCTCCCCCGTGGAGCCTCACAGATTCCCTGGCTGAACTGGGGTCTGTCCTGTCCGGGGGCCATCCCCGGCTTGGGGGGAAGCCTGCACGCTGTGTGTGTGCCGGAGGCTGGCCGAGGGGGGGTGGGGGGTGGGTGCTTTGTGCATGCTCCGGCACAGCCTGCAAGGGGCGCCGTGGCAGAGACCACGGTGGGCGCCGTGGCGGAGGGCAGCCGAGATCCTGGCCCTGCAGCTGGTGAGGGGGCTGAATCATGCATCGGGGTGTGCAAGATGCTGCTCAGGTGATGCTGCCTCTGTGGCAAGGTGACACCTCCATGTGGCGTCAAGGACACGCTCCTGCCCCGTCCTCTCCGCGCATCCGGCATCCTTGTGAGGCACGTCCCAGCCGGTCCCTCGCAGCGGTTTGCTTTCCGTTCCCCTTAGCAGCCCCCCCACCCCCGATGAGATCATTGGCTGTGTGCGCCTCTTTCCCGGACGCGGGGAGGCAGTGCCAGTGGCGGGGCCTTGGGGGGGCATCCCAGCTCCGCAGCCGAGCGGGCCCTGCTACCCACACGCAGCCAGGGGGGCCCAAGGATGGAGCACAGTCCCCCAGCGGCCTTGCTGTCGGCTGCGCCTGTCGCTGCCCCTCAGCCTGGGCGCAAGGTGTGACCTTGGCTGCACTCGACCTGCCCCCTGCGCTGCCGCACACCTTGGGCGGTGATCCTCCGGCCCTTGGGGGGGGATTCCTTCTTTCTGTCCTTGGAGCGCTGGAAGAAGGAAGCGGGGGAGGCAGGCGCCTCTCTGGCCCTTGGGAGTGCGGGAGGGGGGTGGCGGCTGTGTCCCACGCGGTAGTTTGCCCCTCGGGGCTCTTCCCCACAGCCCCCCCCCCAAGCCTGGGCAGGGAGACGCTCCCCTCCTGCTGGCCACAGTGGCGGTGTTGTGAGGGGACTGTGGGGTGTGTTGGGGGGGAGGTTCCCCACAAGCCAGGCAGGATGGCAAGCTTCCCAGGAGAGCCTGTTTGGGCTGAATGCTGGCATCCGTTGACTTTCTCCCACGGAATGGGAAAGCAGGGCAAAAAAACCAAACAAACATCTAGAGCAGGGACAGCCATCATGCTCCCCTAAACAGCGAATCAGAAAGGGGACTGTGCAGAACTGACTTCTTCAGGACAGGCTTCCCGGATGCACTGAATGCCCGGCACCCCCTGCCACCCCGTCCCAACATCCACAACACATCTGGAGGCACAGAAGGGAAGGCTGGCCTGGGCCGTCGTTCCATCTGAGCGCCACAGAGTCACAGAATCATGGGAGAGTCGAGTTGGGGGGGCCGTGGGTCCTGTTGCAGGGCACCAGGTCACGCCACCCCACACGGAGGGTGGCTCACTGTCGGTGCGCTCGGGCGATGCCTCGGGGCCCTTGGAAGGGCGGGCTCTTGCGCGGTGCCTCGTTTCTGCTGCCCAGTGGCCCTGCGCAGCCCTCGCCTCCCGCGGGCTGGGCGGAGGTGAAGGAAGAGCGACCTTCCGAGGGCTGCGGAGGGGAGAGTGGGAGGCTCGGCCCTTCACTTCTGCCCAGACCTCTTTCCTCCAGGCTGTGGCCACTCTCTGGGCCCAAACGGGCCGTGTTTTCTCTCTGTGTCTGGAGGCAGGGCCTCTCCCTCCCATCCTGCCCCTCAGGAGGGTGCCGCGGGTGGCCTGAGGGGGATCCCTGCACCCACCTTGAAGTCCAAGTGGGTGGTGGGGAAGGACTCCCCACCGGACGCCCATGTGCGGCGCTGCCCCGTTGGGCTGAGCTTGCATTGATGCAGGCCAGATGCGCATTTTCCCTGGGACGGGATGCAGGGAAGCTCAGGGGGAGGGAGGCCGTTCCGCCCCGCAGCCTCTGCTCTGCTTCCCCACCAGACTGACGCCTTTCCTCTGTGTCTCACGCAGGAACATGATATCGAGACGCCATACGGGCTGCTTCACGTGGTCATTCGGGGGTCTCCCAAGGGGAATCGCCCGGCCCTCCTGACGTACCATGACGTGGGACTCAATCGTAAGTGTGCCGCTTTGATCCTGCTGCGCAGGGAGAGGCCTTCTCCCCCACTCCCCACAACGCCGTGGTCTCCGGGGCGGCTGCTTTGGCAACCTGCCAGTCGTGCTGCGGGCGCCAAAAGGGGCAGCGTCAGTTGGCCTGGTCTGACGAGCCCAGCGAAACGCAGCGCGCCTTCGGGGTTGCTTCCTCCACTGCTTGGAACCTCCAGCGCCTCGCTGGGGCGTCCGTGTTTCACAGGAAGAATGCAGTCTTTTGAGACGGCGGAGCCAACGGTGAGCCGGTCCCAGAGGGACAGAGCTGTGCGCAGGCTTGCTTCTCCTTGCACATCCTGCCATTGCTGTGCCAATGTTTGTGGCTTGTGGTGCCCACAAATGTACTGCACTTGGGCCTTGCACACTCCCCAGTGTGCCGGTCGGTGCAAGCAGGGTGCCGGCGTTTCCTCCACCTGCGTGCGCACCGTCCCCTGCTTGAGGGACTCCAGATCTGGGAAATGCTCAGCTGTTTGCAACTCGCTCCACCTCTGGGCGCGCCAGGGACTCTTCCGCCTCCTGGAGGTGGCACGCCTGTTCCTGGGAAGGGGTCCACGCACGGCCATTTTCAGAAAGGAAGTGCGATGTTGGCTCACCCTGCCGTGAGAGAAGCGAAGGGCCAGACGTGGTTTTGTGAAGTCCCATCTCTAACGTGTGGGATTCTGGCGTCAGATCTTTTTCTTGCATTAGGCTGCTGTTAGGTCACACGCAGGAAACTGGGCTTCCTGCCCTGAGGGGGAAGGATGACTAGGAAGGTGGGTGGAGGAGAGTGTATTCAAAGATGCTGGAGTATTTTAAACATCTGGAATACTAGTATACATTGTTTAAAGGTGCTGGCCCTGTCACCAGCCCTGCTCCCGGGCATTTTGGTCTTTCAGATGTGACTGTCTAGAGAAGCAGTTCCCACATCCTGAGGTTAGATCGGATGAATATACAACTTGGGTTGTGAATATGTGGAGAACTGGCTTTTCCGGACAAGATCTTCCAGTGGGATTTGTCCCAAGTTCTTTCTTTCATTTGGAGGCTAAATCGGTCCTCACCAAGAACAGACTTTCCTGGTCCCTCCCTCTTGCTCCAGATCTGCCTTCCAGGACGAATCCACAGAGTCTCCTCCCCAGCTGCATTTTAAACTGTCAACGTATAGATTGCCTGTGCCAATCACTCCTGAATTCTGGTAGCCCTGCCCTGTGTGGCCGTGTCTCGTCAGGGCGTTGCTTGATCTGCTATTCTGTCCATTTGGTTTTAACTCTGTGGGCACCTTTGATTTTGATGATGGTTCTAAATGTTGAGACATAGATTCCTGTTTGTTTGTTTGCACTACTGTGGAATCTTCTGTTCAAACCTGTGGTGCGTAGGATGGGAGCTGCAGTGCACGAGGAGTGGCAGGAAGCCTTCCCAGCCTGCGCTCAGCTCAGTACCCGTTCCTTAAAACAGATTTGCAAAGCCGCCTTTCCAGGTTAGGGCTGGGACAACTCTGCTGGGACATTGGTTTTTCAACCCGAACCCTGACCTTGATCTTGAACCCCAACCCTGAACGGGGCAGACATCGCCGTGCCCAAAGGCCGGTGCGTCTCGCCACAGCTCAGTCTTTCTGGCCTTGCGTCAGTTCCAGTCCAAACTTCTGAGCAAAAGGCAAAGCATTCTGTTTTGCTCCGTTGGAAAGAATACCGTGCTTTTGGTGCAGAGCTTTCGTGTGCCGACAGCAAGCCATGCCGTCCAGCCTTTATGTCATTTTGAAAAATAGGCTGAACTCGTTTGAGAGGCCCTGGGAATGCTGGGACCCAAATTTTCTCAGGACTCGTTGGCAGAGGTGCCTGGAGAAGGGGTGATTCAGGGACTGTGCGGTGGAAGCTGGCAGATTGTCCAAGGGCTGTCCCGTCGAACAGGGTTCGGAAGGTCAGGCTGCAGGGTTTGGGTCTCCATCCCCAGAAGCCCCTGCAGCACGCCCGATTGCCGGGAATGCTGGGATGGGTGGCTCGCAGCCTCTGCAGGACCTGTTCCCGCACTCGCAGGACTAGACTGGGTGGCTGCAAGTCGCGGAGGAGTCGCTTCCCTGAGGCCCCAGTCGGATGGTGGAGTGACGGCCTGGCAAGGCGTGGGGAGGTCCTTTCCCCGAGGCGTCTAAGTAGCGGCTGGGCATTCCCCCGTCAAGGGTGCTTGGAGCAGAGGATGCCGCCAAGGGACCCCCAGGGACTGGCCCGCTCCAGCTCTGCACTTCTGGACCACCTCTTTGCCTCAGTTTCCTGATCCAAACAGCCCCCTGGGGGTATTAGTTACCCATATGGGGGGAAACAGGCAGGATCAGGGCAGAGGGGATGGACCTTTGGCTGCCTCTGTCCCCGAGACCTCCCCCCTCCTGAAAAGCATCCCTGCAACCCACAACACCCTGTGGCCTCGAGGAAGCCGAGCCCAGAGACTGCATGGAACGCAGGGGCTGCACCTCCGGTTTCTTGCGCCGCCTCTGTCTTAAAAGGCTCTGCAAGCTTTGGGGATGGGCAGACATCCCACAGAGACAGGGAGGTGCTTGCACGGTTCTGCTCCCCGTTGGTGTCTTGAAACGGGGACGGCACTGCACAAAGCCTGTTCCAGTGGTTCCCTCCCTCCCTCCCTCCCTCCCTACTTGAACCCAGCCCAGAGCACCTTTGATCCCGTCCCCCTGCACAGACCGGCTGTCGGGGGGCTGGAAAGGTTTGGCCCCGGCTGGTCCAGGGTCTGCTGCGTGGCCGCTGCTCCTGCTTGGATCGAAGGCGTGCGGCTGCACGCTGGAGGCTCCTGGGCAGCACCGCTCTTCCAGGAAGGTCACCTTGCAATGCAGCAGAGCGGGGGGGGGGGGGCGGCCTGCAGAGGGGAGGCAGCGAGCTGCCGGGAAAGGAGCGGACGGTTCCTCGCAGGCTCTCAGCCCGGGTGGCAGAGCCGAGCCTCCTGTGGAGTTGCTTCCTCACAGCCCCAGTCTTCGGGAGGGCTGCCCCCAGGGTGCTGGCCTGGTGCAGAGGACCCAGAAACCTGCTGGAGAGCTGCTGCCAGCCGGTCTTGCCGGTGCTGCCCTTTCGTCAGGCTGATTTCCGATGGTTCCAGGGATGCTGAAATGCGTTTCTGTGGACACGCAAAAGCAGTGTGGTTTGGGCGGCTTTTCGGGGCTTGCAGACCTGGGGCGGAAGCAGTGTGGGCCTGGCTGGGAGGCCTGTGGATATGCCTCCGGGTGGAGATGCAAGCGGGAGAGACTGCTGGGGAAGCAAAGCCGCCCCCAGGGCCCCAGCCGGGGCCACAGCTGCCCCACCAGTGTTAGCAGTGGGGAAGCCGCAGCAAAAGCGCCAGTCCCCGGCTGCTCCAGGGCCCCGAGGGAGGGGCTGTGAAGCCTCCTCTTCCTCCGGCAACCCTCCCTGGGCTTGCCCTTCCCCTTCACTGGCAGACGCAGGAAACTGCCGTCCCAGCTGCGTCGGGGCTTCTGTGCGAGGAGGAGGCCGAGGCCTCTGGAGCTGGGCTGGGCACAGCCCCCGAAGGACCGGGCAGCCCCTGGCGGGTGGAGAGGAGGAGGAGGCTCCCCTGTGGGCTGCAGTGTCCCCAGGCCTCGGTCTTGGGGGGCCCCTCGCCCGCATGGACGTGGTCGCGGGAAGAGCAGGTGGGGGGGCTGCCCGCCCCATCCTCCGCTCCCACCACTGGCTGGTGTTGGAGCCCCCCGCCCCGAGGGGAGCAGCGATCCGCTTCCCAGGCATGTCGTGGGGGACGTGCATGCCGAGTTTCCCAGGCGCCGCGGCCCTGGCCAAGCTCTCCCGCTCTTCTCCTCCCGGTCTCCTGCAGACAAGCTCTGCTTCAACACGTTCCTCAACCTCGAAGACATGCAGGAGATCGCCAAGCACTTCGTGGTGTGCCACGTGGACGCTCCGGGGCAACAGGCCGGGGCCTCGCAGTTTCCTCAGGGGTAGGTAGCCCAGCCGCCCAGGCAGGCGCCCAGCTGGGCGAGGCAGCCGGAAGGGCCCTTCCTTGGCTGGATACGGCCCGCGCTCGCCCGGAGGTGTGGGCACGCGGACGGCTCGTCGGGGCCTCGCTTGCCCTCACAGTGAGCCGCGTTGGCGTGGCCTTCCGCAGGGCCCATGTCGGGACAGAGCAGGTGGGCCCTGCTGGGGCGGGTGCCCTCCGGGGGCCGGCGGGCCGCTCGGTGTGGCGGGTGGGCTCCCCGTGGCCAGAGCCTGGGCCCGCATCACGAGTCCCTCGCTCCGGGCCCCTCCTGGCTCCCAGAGGGAAGGCGGATCCCAGGAGGCGGGGTGGCGCTGTCCTTGGACATGACCACCCATGTCACCCCTCCCCTGGGGGACGATTCTGCTGCCCAGACGAGGAAGGTTCTGCCCCCCTGGCCTCCAGGGACTCCCCCAAATTTGTCCTGCAAGGACAACCCGCGGGGCGATGGCCCCGTCCTTCGGCTCCCTGGGGCGGCCCCTTCCCCCCGCCTGGGGGCACTTCCTGGCCCCGGGAGGAATTCGTGCCGTGTGGCAGGGCTTGTGCTCATGCCAGCGGGCCCCACGCCGAAGAGCAGGGGGAGCTGCTGCGGGGGCGCCCGCTGGCCCAGTGCTGTGGACCACCCGGGCTGGGGGGGGGGGGGGGGGGGGGGACGGGTGTGGGGCCTGTGCCGGGCTGCCCCGCCGGCCGGGGTTCCTCCGGGCTCTCCTCTGCTCGGGAGAACAAGCGTTGCCTCTCCCCGCTGCCCCGCTCTCTGCCTGCAGGTACCAGTACCCTTCCATGGACCAGTTGGCCGCCATGTTGCCCAGCGTGGTGCAGCACTTCGGGTGAGCCTGGGCTCGGGGTCTCTTCCCCGCAGGGAGGGGGCGTGGTGCGGCAGCGGAGGGCAGGTTCGTGGCGCCGGTGGTGCCGGGTTCATCTAGCAACACCGCCTCCCTCCGCTCCCCTTCCCAGCCTCACCCCCCGCATGCCACGATCAGGACAGCGAAGCCGGCTGGGCCCGATGGGAGTTGTGCTCCCACGCTCCGGGAGTGGGCCGGGGTGGAAAGGCGGCCGTTCGGCCACGGGGGGCGCCGCAGGCTCTCCTTCCTTCAGGCTCCAGCAGAGGGTTTTGCGAAGCACCACATGCTCCCGGCAAGCGGGCCCGGGTCGCCGAAGCCCTCCCAGAGGCCTATGCTGGAAGGGCAAGGTAGTGCAGCGGTTGGAACACTGGACCGGGAGGAGGGAGGGAGACCCGGGTTCCAGCGTCCGCTCAGGAATCCGTCGCTCCCGGTGGCCTGGACCTGTCGCCTTCCTGCTCAGGCTGGCCCCCCTCGCCAGACTGTTGTGAGGAAGTGAGGGGAGGGCACACATTTGAGCTCCTTGGCCAGCACAAAAAGGGGGCGGTAGGCGCTCTTCCAGGGAAGGCCAGGCTCTCCACGGTGACACCGCGCGTGACGGGGGCCGGGAACCGGGTCATGGGCAGAGGTGGGTCGGCCGGCAGCATTTGTGCTGCAGGAACTGGCGGCGGGGAAGGCGGCCGGCGGGTCTGGAGCCTCCGGCCGGATCCGGCCCATGAGCTGGGCCAGTGAGGCTTGGGATCCGGGCACGAAATGGGCGGGGGCAAGGCTGGGCCTGCGCAGGTGGCCGATGGGCTCTCTTCCCCAGGTTCAAGTACGTGATTGGAATCGGCGTGGGAGCGGGTGCCTACGTGCTCGCCAAATTTGCGGTAAGCGACCCCTGGCCGGCCTTCAGAGCCCTTGTGTGTCGGTGCCTGCGAGAGAGCCATCATCTGTCCGCTTTTATTCCCGATGGGGCGAGTCTTAGGAAGGACAGAACTCACTTCCCGCAGCAGCATCTGGGGGCTTGTTCCAGGGCAGAAGCCTTGTGGCCAGTCTGAGGCGGTTCTGTTTGGAAGAAATCCCCACCCTGCTCGTGGGACGCATGCGTGCCCATGAGGGAGGCAGTGCCGAAGTCCCGCTGGCGAAGAGCGGATTCCTCATTCTAAATGTTTTTATTTGTTTTAAATGTTTTTACTGATATTTTTATTTTCCCAACATTTTAACAATTAATTGGTTTTATCCTTGTTTTTGTCACTATTTATTGCATGCAGTGTGTTGTGTGTTGTTACGTTTTTTTTGTTCTTGGCTTTTTTGCTTTTTGTCCTTTGTAAGCTGTCCAGAGACTTTTAGTAATGGGATGGCATAGGAAAACTTTAAATAAATAAAAAAATAAAAATAAATAGCTAGCTAGCTCCCTGTGTGAACACCTGTGTGAACACCTGTGTTCACACGTGCACTTTGGCGCTGCTTGGACGCCGGGGAGCCGGCACATTCGCTTCTCTCCCCCCCATCTTTTTGCTGCAGCTGATCTTCCCGGATCTGGTGGAGGGGCTGGTCCTGATCAATGTGGACCCGAACGGCAAGGGCTGGATTGACTGGGCAGCCACCAAGGTGAGCGCCCCCCCCCCAGGCATTTCCAGGTCATGGGGCAGATCTGGGATTAGCTGGCAGTCACCCGAGAGTGAGCTGATGGCCATCCCAGCTGGGGATGATGGGGGCTGTAGCCCAACACCAGGGGGGGGAGGGTGCCAGGTGGGTGCAGGCCTGGCTAGCCAAAATTAGGGAGGCGGAGGTGTGCGTCAGCTGCTGCCAGCAACGGAACTGTATTGGAATGCTGCATTCGGAGGCAGGCTCTCTGGGCACCGGATGCTGGAGAAGCAGGACACCGCCACGAGCGTACCTGCTCGGACACCCCAGCATGCTGCTGGGAAGGCAGTGGGTGCCCCTGAACTCCACGAGAGAGGCTTATCCCCCAGAGAGGCAGCCCCGGGCTGCTGACCTGAGCCGGCAGGCAAACGGTCACTCTGGTGCTCTCGCTTTCTTCCCCCAGCTCTCCGGCCTGACGAGCACTTTACCCGACACAGTGCTGTCTCACCTGTTCAGCCAGGTAAGCAAGCCGAGGGAGCAGCGGAAGGGACCTGGTGGGGAGGGAGCTGTCCCCACGTCGGATGCTGCTTCCTGGCTCCCTCCACAGAAGGAGCCCCTTTCCTGCCTCCCGCATGTGTCAGAGGGCTGGGCGGCAAAGCCACATCGATGGCACTGCCTGGCCTTGGCCAGGGGGGATTCCAGGGACCTCTCTAGGACCCATCTGCCTGATTCGCACGTGCAAGGAGCTTGGCAGGACAGGACTTGTGCCCCCAGGCAGGGAGGACGGGAGCAGGAGGCACAGTCTTGCCCTGCCGCTTTGCTGCCCCCTGGCCTGAACACGCCCGGCCCAGCAGCTCAAGCCGACAGCTTCCATTTCGAGTCCCACCTGCAAGCAGGCCGTGGCAAGGCCGGACCGGAAGAAGGGGTGGTTCAGGCAGAAAGGTGGCGCGCGTTCAGAAAGTCTGACGGAGGTTGCAGGCGGAGGCCTCTGGAGGACGTGCCGTGCCCATCTCCTCTGGGTGCACCAGCGACCTCCCTCTGTTGCTTCCTTTCTGCCTTGCAGGAAGAGCTGGTGAGCAACACAGAGCTGGTGCAAAGCTACCGGCAGCAGATTGGGACTTTGGTGAACCAGTTCAACCTGCAGCTCTTCTGGAACATGTACAACAGGTCAGTCCAGCCAGGCTGGTCCTGGGTGGGGCCTCCTTGCCAGTGGCCCCCACGGCCCTCTTCTTCCCACCTCATAAAAAAAAAAAAAAAATAGTAGCCCCGCAAGCGCCAGCATTCAGCCAGAAAGAGGTCAGAATTGGCGTGAGTCCCAAGGGAGGGGAGGGCCTTCCCTGGAGAACCAGGAATTCTGCTCCCGGCTGCTCAGTCCGCGGTTTCGGCGATGGGCCCTGGTGCCACCCCACCTCTCCCGTTTGCCCCTGGTTGCCCAGCTCGCCGTGTGCGCGCCTGCCTGCCTCGGCGAAAATCACTGACATGTGTGCGTTCCCCTTTTTCGCTCAGTCGGAGGGACCTGGATATCAGCCGGCCCGGAAGTGTTCCAAACGCCAAAACGCTCCGGTAAGCTCCTAGTCGGGCGCGGATGGGTTTGCTGGGGGAGAGGACGGCCTGTGACCAGATTTCTGTCCTGGACTTCGCAGCTGCCCAGTGATGCTGGTCGTGGGTGACAACGCCCCTGCCGAGGATGGCGTGGTGAGTACGGGCCAAGCGGCATGGCGTGTTCGGTCCCACGGCAAGCCTGCCTCGGCCAACGCAGGGGAGAGTGGGGCACGGAAACATGGCTGCACGCGTGCGTGCGTGCGTGCGTGCGAAGCACTTTTGGCTCATTTGGCTTCCAATCAGCAGGTGACGTGGCCTGGCAAAAGGCATGCTGAAAGAAGGCCAGCTGCAGTGTGGGTCCCAGGGACTAGAGACTTTATGATTAAAAACTAGAAGCTTCCCTGCTTTACTCTGGACAGGCTTTTCTCTGCTCTCAGAGTGGGGGCCAGCTCACTTTCCTTGCCGTTTTAGCACCTCGAGAGTTTGCTGAGCACCGCACTAAGCCGGCATTCCCAGCTGGGTACCCCCAGGTGCATGGGGCCATGACTCCCAGCATGGCCCTGTCAACGCAGCACATGGGGGATACTGGGGGTGGTAGTCCGAACATACCTGCAGGACACCTGGGTGCGGGAGGCCGCAGCATGTGTGGTGTCCATGGCTCCCCGTTTCCGTCCAGAATGTTACCGTGAGACGCGGCCTTTGCTCTCTGCAGGTTGAGTGCAATTCCAAGCTGGATCCAACCACCACCACTTTCCTGAAGGTAGGATGCCGGCCAGCCTTCCCACGGCCACCGGGAAGGGCTGTATTTCCACAAAACTGGGCAGACTCCTGTCCTCAGCTGGCCCACCTCACCCTCCCCTGCGAGCCCGCCTGCCTCCTGCCGCCCCTCCCTGCCTGACTCGGCCTGAAGGCGCATGAGGGTCAGTGGGGCTCAGCCACATGTGTGTTTGTGCTTGTGCCGTGCTGGCAGCCCCGGGAACCCAGGCGGGGTGGGGGGGGGTACTTCCACACACACACACACACACACACACACACACACAGCCACAAACGGGCATGGAAGCCCATGGAAGCCCTTCAGCACTGCTGCCAGCTGCCCCCTGAGCTTTTGTGGGTGGCGGCCGGGGGGTTTTCTGGGTCCTGACCCTCACTGGTTCCCCCCAGCAGCTATGGTTTCCCGGTCTTGACAATGGAAGTACCAGGCGAATAAGCAGATTTTCTCCTGGCACTGAAAGGATGGAGAGAAGGCACCGGGCAAACCACTTGGGGGAGCTGGCCGCTGCGGGGAAGGCCCTCCTCTTTGCAGATCGAAACCTTGCCCCACCCACTCTGCTCCCAGCCCATATCAGTCCTCCTTGCCCAAAATTTTCATGGTGCCCGACGTGATCCATTGACGTTACCGATGTTAGTGCAACTGGCCGCCCACCCCTGGCGCATGGGCTGCCCAGGCTCTGCTCAGGACGTTCTGACCCGGCTTCTCTCCCCACAGATGGCAGACTCTGGCGGGCTCCCCCAGGTCACGCAGGTGAGTTCTTTTGCTCCCGCCTCGCCTTGTGTCTGTCGTGTCCGTTACAGAGGACAGGTGCTGCACGCTGAAATCCGGTCACTGCTCCGTGTTCCCCATAAATGCTGGAAGCCGAGCCCCCCTCTAGGATCATTCTCCGTCATGGCCGTTTATCCGTATTTTGATTCCAAAATGTGAAGCAGCTTTTAAAAAAGGCATCATGGAGCTATGACACAGCCGAAAGTCAGAGGCAAAGCAACACAGGAGATGGTTTTGCACGGAAGGTTTGGGAACACCCTCCTCTCCTTGGCCGTGCTCAAAAGTCCTCCTCCTGCTTCGATGCCTGCACCACTGGGGGCTGAAAATACCCATCCGGCTGGACGTGCCATTCCCGGATTCCAGCCGGGAATGCCAGCCGCTTGCAATGCCGTCCTCCTGTCCCAGTGGATGAAGCGTGGGTGCCTTTTCCTTGTTTTTCACTTCTGCACCCTTGTGCTCTTTCGAACAGCCTGGAAAACTGACCGAAGCCTTCAAGTACTTCCTCCAAGGCATGGGCTACAGTGAGTATTGGCCTAATTTTGTGGACAGAGCTGGGAGGACGTGGAGCGTGGGTATCAGGGTGGGGGGAAATGGGGCGGGGTGTCCGAAGGCAAGGTGTCCGTGGCTCGCAGCAGGATGGGGCATGCAGGTGTGGAAGGGAAGCAGCCGGGCTGACGGGCACCCAGCCAGCCTCTTGCCGGCTGCTGGAGCAGGGCTTCCATCGCCCCTCCTTCGCTTCCGAGCTTGGCGGATGGCTAGCACGCCGGCTGGCTTCCTGCACCTTCCCACATTCCTCCTCTTGCCCTCTGGGCGCTGCTGCTCTGGCTGGAGGCTCCCTGGGCGTATTGGCCCCCTCCTGAGCAGGCCCCCCAGGGCTCGCATGCTTGCTGCCCTTCAGAGGCTCAGTGGGGCCGGGAGGTGGGAAACTGAGGCCCAGAAGGCTGGGCTGGTGCGCAGCTCTCAGCTTTCAGTCGCAGAACTGCTCTTGCACCCCTGTGGGCTGAAGGGCGGGTGAATTCTGGCAGGAAGACGGAGCCAGTGCCCTCCGTGCGGGAGCAGTCCCCCGTGTGAAGCCCTCCTGCCTTCAGCCCCTGTCCGTGTCTCCCTGTCCGTGCGGCGTGGCCGCGGTGTCCGCGTCTGGTTGTGCCCTATGCCACCGGACGCTGAACGTGGGGGTCTCCTCCCTCCCCCAGACTCAGTCCCGCCTTCTCTTGAACCCTCCGTCTCTCTCGTAGTTGCTTACCTGAAGGACCGAAGGCTGAGCGGAGGATCAGGTACCCTCCGCCCCCCCGTCTGTCCACGTCCGTGTCCTCGTGCCGCATGCGTCCCCGTCGCCCCTGCACCACACGCCCTGCTGCAGCTTCCGTGTTTGGCCCTGCTGGGGCCGTCCCGGGGGCAGGGGGCCTGGGGGGGTGGGCTGGCTGGGGAGGAGGCCCCCGAGCTGGGGGAGGGATGCCCCACAAGGGACCTGCCCAGATCCACTGCCACTGGCAGAAGGGAGACATGGCCCCCACGGCCTCCTCCTTGAGGAGGGGTCCCCGCAGCCCACTGTGCAGGCGCTCATCATGGCAGCAGTGTCCCCGCAAGGCCAGGCCGCTCGCTCCTGCCCAGCATCTTCCAGAAGGCCGGACGCCTGCTGCACCCCAGATTCTCAGTCTGGAAGGCTGCAGAGGTGTGGGGCCGTGTGTGGGTCTCCGCTCGGCCACCGGGTCTCCACGGGGCCACCAGCCTGTACCACCGAGGGACACGGCAGCAGGGACGCGGGGCATCAGGGCGCATGGGGTCCAAGCACTGGCCTCCCTCAGGGGCGAGGACCCCACCCTTCCTACTCAGGACATCCTGCCTTGCCTGAGCTCCGCTGTGCTCCTCACGCAGCCAGGCAGATGGGGATTTTCCCGGAGCGACATGCCGCCATTGCCAGCACCCCGCTTCCGATGCACAGGGGGGCCACGGCCCCCGATGCGGCTGCTTGCGCTTTGGGGCTCTTCAGGGGGTGGGTCATGCGGCCTGCCTGCTCGTCGGTCCTCATGCCATGCTGCCGTTGCCTCGCTGCTTGGCCCCCAGCGCAGGTGAGGGGAGCCTGCAGCCCCCCGGATGTTGTGGGATTGGCCTCAGGCAGGGTGATGGGAGTTGCAGCCCAGCCGGCAGGGTCTCTGCTGCTGTGCCTCATCGGGCTGCCTTCTGCCCCCTGCAGGAGCCTCTTCTCACCCTCTCGGTGCCCTCGAAAGCGGCGGGTGGGCAGCGGGAGCCCCCTGCGGAGCGAGGCAGCCTCTGCCTGGTGGGGAGGGCCCTGGGCAGGGCACAGCCTGGGCCGCCCACCAGCTCGCCTTGCCGTGGCTCCGGAGGGCACGGGCTCTGAAGGCGCCCGGGGCTGCCGTGAGGAGGAGCTGCCTCGCTGGGCTGGGTGGCACGCAAGGAGGAGCCTGCACATTCCTGCCCCAGCGTTCCCAGCCCTCAAGAGGCCGAAGGCCAGCAGGGGGAGCTGAGGGCCCCGTTCGGCCCCATAGCGACCTCCCCAGCACTGCCCTGGGCCCTGCTCTCCCCTCCCTGCCCGTGCAGCTGGGGGGACAACAGGCTCTGCCTGTCGCCCTCTGCTGGCCGGGGCAGCCACCTCTGGGGCGCTCTGGGGCATGCATGGCTGCTGCGGGGCTCCTCTGGGCCCCCCACCGTGCTGCCGCTGCTGGGGGTGCCGGCCGCCCCCTCCCCCCACATTGCATCGCTGGGGCTTTGCCCGTGTTTTGCTGCTGCGCCACCCCGGGGGGCCCGCCCGGCCCGTGCGTGGGCTGACTCGCCTGTCTCTCCCCAGTGCCCTCGGCCAGCATGACGCGCCTGGCCCGCTCCCGCACCGCCTCGCTCACCAGCGCCAGCTCCGTGGAGGGCGGCCGCCCCCGGGCCTGCACCCACTCGGAGAGCAGCGAGGCCGCCGGGCAGATCAACCACACCATGGAGGTGTCCTGCTGAGGGCCGCCACGCGCCACCGCCGCCTCCTCACCCTCCTCCGCCTCCTCGCCATCGTCCTCGGGGGAGACCTGTCTTTCCACCGAGTGGCTCTGCAGCCGGCCCGCCTTGCAGCTTCTTGTGGCTTTGATTCCTTTGCTGTCCTTCTGTTCATGTTCTGATGGGATTTGAAGTCGTGGGGAGGCGTGTGGGAAGCGGCCACCCCCACAGCCAGCCATCTCCCCCCCAGCCATGGAGCTGTTTGGAACCGGGCCTGCTCCTCCGGGGCCCGTCTCGGGGCTCGGCCGAGTAGCTCTCCCTCCAGCGAAGCACCCAGCACCCAGGTTCCCCCCGCCTGCATGCTCGGCATGTCTCTGGCATCGCGGCGGCCTGCGCACACCACTCCCCCCGTGGCGGGCACAGGAAGGAGGGCAGCGGCAAGCTTTGCGGGGGAGGCCGCCTGGCTTCCTCCCTGGAAGTTGGCTGCGGAGCGCGTGCGGCCAGTGGCACGAGGAGCTGGCCCTCGGCTCTGCGGCTGGAGGCTTTGTCATGAGGACAGGGGAGCTGGGACTTTGCTGGGGGCCACACGTGGGGCAACACGTGTGTGCAAAGGCACGCATTTTCCTTCAGCTGCCTTGGAAAGTCATCCTGATGGATCCCCTGTAAAAACAGCTGCTTCCCTTGATGGAGAGGAATCAGGAAGGCTCAGTGCTAGGAGCTGACGCTGGCCCTCCCTCCCCTGGTCACCAGGCACTGGTGGTTTCCTGACTCTTGCACCCTTTCCAAAAAAAAAAAAAAAAAAATCCAGGGCTCTCAGGAAGAGCTTCCTGCTAAAACAGGCCCGTGCGTTGTGTCGCCCCTTTTGCCCCCAGCCCCTCCCAGCATCTTCCAAAGTGAGCTTGGCTCGGGCTGCAAGAGGCCCGTCGCTTCCAGGCTGCGGCGTGCGGGGAGCCCTTCCTTCTCTCAGATTGGGAACAAGGGCCAAGGAAGGAAGCCCTCCAGCAGGATGGCAGCACAGCTGGCACCGGGTTCCAGAAAGGGGCCCTGTGCTGCCCCCCGGAAAGCTGCCTCTCAGCCCATTGATGTATTCCTGTGTGGGGAGAAACGCTCGCACCAAGCCGGGCCAGGTCCCAGCCCCCTGGACTGCCCGGTGGGCCCTTCCTGCTGACATGTCAGTCCAAAAGAGCAGCTCCATAGAAGGCCCTGATCCCGGTAGTAGGATGCTGGCCCAGCCCGGCCTGGCCCACCCCCTGGGCTATTCTCTGAGCCCAGCCGGTGTTCCCGGACCAGCGATGGTTCTGCAGTGCCCCTCCAGAGGTGTTTTGGGTGTTCGTCAAGTGAAAATTCCCCAGGGGTTGGCTGAAGTTGCATCCCAGTTCTGGAGAGAACCTGGTGGGGGAAGGCTGATTCAGTGCCGTCAATTTGCTTTATTGATACCCAACGCTGCCCTGCCCCCCCCATCCCCAGGTTAGCGTGGCTTTCCCTTTTCAGAAAGGGTTGCCCACGCTCCCTTGGAAGAACCCTCTTGCCCAAGCATGAGTCAGTAGCGCATCAGACGGTTTCACTGCCGGGGCAAGAGCTGCCACGCAGCCGAAGCAGCGTGCGCTTCAGAGCCAAGAGCAGTTGCTGTGCTCCGGGGGGTGGGGGGCAGCCAAGGGCACATTCCCCCATCCTGGGCCACTGAAGGAGGCTGGGATGCTGCTCCCTCATGGCTGGAACGTGGCTGCCGCGCACTTCGCCCCAGTGGCATTTGCTCTGGGGCGAAGAGGGCCTCCCCCCAGCCTCCCGTGCTGCTGCCTGCTGGCTGCTAACCGATACCCTTGAAGAGACAGCTCTCCCCCGGGACTGTGTGTCCTGGCAGAAGTCCGATGTCCCCACATAGTAAGACTCCCGTTGGCATGAAACATGAAAGGGCTTCAGGAGGAGCGCTCACCTGCTCCAAACCAGGCGCCTTCCCGTCCCCGAAGGCCTTGCCGGCCCACCCAGCCGTCCACGCGTGTGTCCTCGTGCCACGGGCCACCACGGACCCTGCTGCTTCCCGCGGTCTCTCGGGCTCCTGCCCCCAGGGCTTTCGTGCAAGCAAGAGGTGCGAGGGGCCCAGGCCGCCGAGCAGGGCGCCCCTTTCACAGGCACGCTCGGCAGGAGGCCTTGCGGCTGGCTTGCCGGCCTGGCCAACCTAGTGCCCTGCAGAGGTGTTGCACTGTGACTCCCCCCGGCCCCCGCAGAAGGGGATGGGATCGCAGCGCAGTGCATCTGGAAGGCACCGGCACCGGCACCGGCACCAGCACACGGCCGCGGTCCCAGTTCCGTTGCCTGCCGGTGGCTGCACCAGGCGTGTGCACGGATGCTGCTCCCGAGAGACGGTCTGCATGTGGGTGCTTGGGCGTCGCCTGCCTCCATGCAGTGTCCCTTCTAATCTCAAGATGCTTCTTCTGTGTGCTTCTTTCTGAACTTCGAATATGAATGTTTAAAAGCTAGTAGGACTCCTTTTTCTTGTAGATACTGCTGCAATTTTTCTTGGCATGTTTGTTCAGATGAGATAGATCTATAAATACCTGTATCTATTTATCTTGTTTTGTTTTTTTCATTCCACAGTAGCAATTGGCAACCAATGTGTAGTTACTTTGTTTTCCATTGGAAGGTGATCTCTAAGTAGCTCCTGGAAGCAGGGGAAATTGGATTATTATTATTTACATTTTTCCTGATTAAGGTGGAATTTAATGATTTTCTGTATGAGGTGAAATGTAGTATTTTTGTGCATGATTGTTAATGCTCTTTGGTTGCATTTTAAGCCACAATGTCTACAAAATGTAAAATAAAGCAAAAAAATACAACACCCATTGTTCTAGAAAGGATTATTGTGTTGAAAACTAATAAAGATATTAAAATCAAGCAGACTTAATTTGGAGTGGAAACTGTGGCTTATTTGCCAATGTGTAATAATGAAAAGGTACAGTATAAATCACTTCACACATGTGCACACATACATGTGAAAGGCCTGTAAATCCTGGCAGACAACCCAGGGGGTCTGCACTCAAATCAAGCCAGGTGCCTTGGGAGGCCCCCCGCTCAGAGGGCCGTAACACATCCCAGCAGGCCCCAGCCAGAGCTCTGCTGACTAAGGCATGCTGGGAATGCTAGGCCTCCTCTCCGTAGGCTCACGCCTGGGGCTCTCGCTTGCGTGTGCGTTTGTGTTGCGATCCTTTACGCGAGAGTAAGCCTCACGGAAGCCAGCGGCGCTTGCCTCCGAGTAGACCAGCCGCGCGGCGCGCCGAGCACGCCCAGGCCTCCACAGACAGCGGCGCATGCGCGAGCGGCGGCCGCGGGGGTGGGGCTCGGGCGGCGGAGCCTGCGCGCAGGCGCGGCCTCCTCGGCCACCGTCGGGGCTGCTTCGCCATGGCGACCGCGGCCAAGCGGCCGAAGCCGGGCGAGGAGGGAGCGGCGGGGCGGCCGGACTCGCCTCGGCGGGCCCGTGGGGGCGCTGGAGGCGAGGGCGCCCTCTCCGCCTTCCTGAACTGGTGCGCCGACGCGGGCGTGGAGCTGAGCGACAAGGTAGGCAGACCGGCGGGCAGGGCGCGGCGGGCCGGGCCGGGCCGGGCCGGGCCGGGCCCCTCGCCGAGCCTGGCTGGGGTGGCTCGGGAAAGCTTGGCCTGGCCTGGGAGCGAGGATCGTCCCCAGCGCCCCCTACAAGTGCCTCAGGGGCTGCCGCAAAGAGGACGGTCAAGGTTTCTTCCGGCTGATGCCGGAGCGCGGGGCACGGGAGAATCAAGTCAAGCTGCGGCAACCCAGGTTCAGGCTGGGCATCGGGAGAAGCTTCCTCACGGCCACAGCAACACGGCAGTGGGACCGGCTGCCTGGAGAGGCGGGGGGCTCTGCCACACCAGAGACGTTCAAGGCGGAACTGGGCAGCCACCTGCGTGGGAGGGTGTCGCGTGGCGTCCTGCACCAGGAGGGGGTCGGACTCGATGGCCTTCATGGCCCCTTCCGGCTCTGCTGTTCTGTGATTCTGTGATCACTGCCGTTGCAAGGCGGCTTGTTCGCCCTCGCCTCTCTCTATTTTCACAACAGCCCTGCCCGGTGAGTTAGGCTGAGAGGCGGGGTGGGTACGGACTTGCCCAGTGCGCTCCCTGGCCCAGACGACCCCATTCCCTGCTTCCCACCACCCTAGCCAGGCCAGCTGGGCTGGACCCCTTCCCCAGCGTGGTTCCCTCGGAGTTGCAGTGGGAGCGGAGCCCAGGGGGCCCCTTAGGGCGGCCGGCGGGTGCCAGGGCGCGGAGCGTGGGCCGCAGCTCTTAAGAACGAAAAAGTCTCGCTGGATCAGACCAAAGGTCCGTCGCGCTGAGCTCAGCGCCCTGTGCACCCGTGGCGGACCAGGTGCCCGCATGCACCAGCTGCTGAGGAGCCTGGGCAAGGTGAGGGCTTTCACCCTTTCTGCTCAAGGAATCCTAAAGTAGCGCAGACCTTGGGATCCCACGTGTGTCTTGCTTCTGTTGTTTATGTTGATGGTCTGTTAGCTCGCAGGCCTGATCCAACATGCTGGTTTTGTCCTTTGAAGCTCTAAGTTCTTCCAAGCAGGCACCATTTGAAGGACTGCCTCTGGAGCACCCCAAGCCTTAGATACCACTTTCTCAGTTCACCCCCACATTGGAACTGCAGGGAGGTACATGGGTTACTAGCTTAAAAAAAAGAAAGAAGTTTCTAAAGATGCATTTAGCCTAATCTGCAGTTAGAAGCCATTAGCTGCTCCTTTTTATGTATATAAGTGCAGCATGCCTTTGCCTGCTTTTGAATTATTTTAACCTGTCTGGTGAAGGCAATGTGCCCTGAAAATTGGGCAAAACAACCTTTAAGATAGCTAAACAGTCTCATTTTCTGAGTTATTACAAACAGCAGTTTATGCTTTGTTTGTTTAGCATTAGTTTAGTTTTATTTTGTTATTCCTTTGCTTCTTCTGATCCTTCATTTTTATTATCTTAAAGGACTTCTAAAAACGTTTTTCCTGGACTGAGACATGCTTCTTTTCACTCATTCCAAACACTCTTATTATTCTGGAAAAAAAAAAAAAAAAACCCACCTATTGCATAATTCAGCATCTTGCAATTTTGGGGAAAAAAGACAAGCCCAGGTATTTGTAACAAAACTCATGTTTTTTTTTCCCCTTAGAAGGGTGTATTAAACTTTCTGAAATTGGGAAAGAATCTCCAATTCAGGGTGTTTACCTCCCCACCGCCCTCCATTTTAGGTCTATGTGAGCAAAGAAGGCACAGTGGCCAATTATGGCCTAGTCACCAGAGAGGACCTGGAGGCTGGAGAAGTCCTTTTTACCATCCCAAGAACAGCACTGCTCTCACAACACACGAGCGCTCTTTCTTCCCTCCTGGAGAAAGGTAGGAAGCCCTCCTGCAGCTGAACAGACAGAGACCTTCATTAAAAGAGCACCTGGGTGATTTGGGGAGTCTGAATGGCACATGCTGTGGAGTACGTTCCTGTCTGTTTGGAGTGTAAAGGAAAAGATGTGGGGATGTGTAGCTGAGCACTTGCAAACAAAGCTGAGGAAACTGAGACTCTCAGCCCTTGAAAAAGCCCCTGAATATTTCAGAAAGCCCCAAAGCTGGGAGAATGAGAAAAGAGATGGGGCACTTTCACAGCTAACCCCAGTTGGTTCCTGTTTGTTTTTGATGGGTTCCAGCAGTTGGTTTTGGCATGTTCTGATGAGAAGAACAATTAGACAAAATAGTTCTGGTGCTTTACACCCTTTCTTCTCTGCCTCGATAGAACAAGCCTCCTTGGAGAGTCAGTCTGGCTGGGTTCCCCTCCTCCTCACTCTGCTTCATGAGTCCACATCCAGTGATTCCCGTTGGAGACCATATTTGTCCCTCTGGCCCCACTTCAGTGGTTTGGATCACCCCATGTTCTGGTAAGAGCAAATGCTGTAATGCCATTGTTTCATTGACTCTTGGGCTCTTCCCAAATGTTTGCGGCTAAGTTCTGGGTGACAAGAGCCAGCAGTTAAATTATGGAGTTAATTACTGCAGGACGTAGTGACAGCTGTTGGCATGAATATCTTGGAGGTTATCACTGGCTGCTTAGTCACATTGCCTGTGCCTTATCAGAGGCTGTTGCTCGGGAACATGAGTGACATTGGGCCTTTGCCTCTGGCTTGTTGGTGGGCACCTGCTAGGCCACTCTGGGATCGAATACTGCACTGGAGAGGTGTTTGGTCTGAGCCAGCAAGGCATCTCTTCTGCTCTTAATACCTCCTCATCTCCTGCACCTGTTGCCCAGCGTAGAGCTGAGCATCTCAGGGGCTCTCAAGAGCACGATTTAGACAGTCTCAGACGTGAGGGGTGTGTCAAATGGGCATGAGTGTTAAATGCTCACGCAAAGAGCGTCTTGACACCTCCAGCCTCAGCATCTCTCGTTTCCCCCTCTGTAAGGAATTAAAGTAATTCAAGATTTTTGACTTTGGTAGCCTTCTTTTGAGTGGTTAGTTTGTTTTCATGCAGTCATGGAATAGTAGAGTTGGAAGGGGCCATGAAGGCCATTGGGTCCAGCCCCCTGCTGTTGCAGGACACCAGGTCACACCATTCCACTCAGAGGGTGGTACAGTTTCTTGCCAATTTGCTTATCAGAATGTCATGTTGCACTATGTCGAAAGCTTTGCTAAAGCCTAGGTAGATTATGTCCACAGTGTTCCCTCTGTGGATTTGGGAAGTTACCCAGTCAAAAAATGAGATTAAATTAGTCTGACAGCATTTATATTTGATAAATCCATTCTAGCTTCTATTGATCACTGCATTTCCTTCAAGATGCTTGCAATGGATTTTTTAATGATTTGCTCCAGAATTTTTCCAGGGATTGATGTCAGACTAACTGGTCTGTAGTTCCCAGGTTCATCTTTTCCACCTTTTTGAAGATAGGGGCACCCCTAATCCTTCTCCAGTTGTCTGGCACTTCTCCAGTTTTACAAGATTTATCGAAGATAATAGCCAGTGGTTCTCAGAGTTCCCCCACTAACTCTTTTATGTCTTTGGGATGGAGTTCATCGGGCCCTGGAGATTTGAAAGTGTTTATTCCGTCTAGGTATTAATCCACTTTAAGTTGCTGTACACCCTTCTCTTTCTGATGTCTTTTGTTCTGTTGTTTTGATAATACAGTGAATTGTTTGAGGTTTAACTAGATGTGTGGGCGGATTGCTGTTTTCACCTCATGTGCTGTGTCCATATTTTCTCAGGAAATGTTTGCAAATATTCCAGGCAAATATAACACAAGAAGTGGAAATTAAGTGGTCAGAAGCGACTGCAGTGGGAGTAGGCAGGCGCCCGCATGTGTGGGAGCAGAAGTGTAGGACAGTGCCTGCCTGCCTGCCTTTTTGTGGGGCTGCCGCACCCTGCAGCCTCTGGAGCACGCAAATCCTGCTCTCTCAGATGCAAAAATGGCACTCGGAGTAGCTCAGCGAAGGGAGCAGTCAGCCACCTGTCCGTCAGTGCCGGAAGTTCCTTTGTCCGGGATCTGGCTTAGTGCCAGGAGAGGGGACTGCCCTTTCTACTTGCTTTTCCGCACAGGTGCGGAAAACCGCACCTGGCACCGGGACCCGCCCCACACGTGTGAGAGGCGTGCGCCGGACGGGGGGGGGGGCGGAGCGTCGGAGCGCCCCGCGGCCTCAAAGCGCCAGCGGCGGCTGAAGGGTGATGGCCAAAGGGCGGTTGCTGCCGTTTGGTGGGCCGTTTGGTGGGCCGAGCGGGGGGCTGGGCTGGCTAGGAGCTCTGGCCATTTTATGATTGGCCTTTTAATTGTTTTTAAAAGTTTTTATTGTCTTTTAACTGATTTATGGAGTCGTCCCTGGCCATACCGCCGCTTGTGTTTCCTGGGGAGCACGTGGGTGCTGCCATTGGCGTGGTCTTGGGCAATGGATGTTACAGCGGAGGGGGCTTAACGTGTCCGCGTAGAAGAAGGAGGGACAGATGGCTGACACCTGTCCCTACTTCTGGTTTTGCCCCCAACCAGAGGGTACCAGGGAGTCTTGTCAGCCACCCCTCGGGCTTGACGGTGCTGCTGCTTAATGCCAGGTCGGTCAATAACAAATCTTCCCTCATCCATGACTTGATTCTGGATGAGGGGGCCGACCTGGCTTGCATCACAGAGACCTGGGCGGGAGAAGGGGGGGATGTGGCCCTCTCCCAATTGTGCCCGCCCGGGTATCTGGTTCAGCACTGCTCACGCCCAGAGGGGAGGGGAGGGGGGGTCGCTTTGGTTTACCGAGCTTCCATCTCTCTCACTGGACTTCCTGTCCCTTCGAGACCAGGGCTGGAGTGCCTCTACTTGGTGTTGGGCGACCGAGACAGATTGGGGATTCTGTTGGTGTACCGTGCACCCTTCTGCCCAACAGTCTCCCTGCCTGAGCTGACGGAGATCGTCTCAGACTTGGTGTTGAGGACCCCCAGGATGTTGGTCCTGGGGGACTTCAATCTCCATGCCGAGACTGATCTGTCCGGGGCGGCTCAGGACTTCATGGCCTCCATGGCGGCCATGGGGCTGTCTCAACATGTCGCCGGCCCGACCCATGAACGTGGACACACTCTGGACCTGGTTTTCTCGACGGGGCAGGAGGAGGGTGGTCTGAGGGTGAGGAATTTATGCTTGACTCCCCTGTCATGGTCAGATCACTTTCTGCTGAGGTTTGTGCTCGAGAGCGACCTCTCCCTCTGTAAGGGTGCGGACCCGATTGTGTGGGTCCGCCCCCGGAGCCGGATGGATCCGGAAGGATTCCTGAAAGCCCTGGGGGAGTTTCCGGCTGACAAGTCGGGTGCTCCTGTCGAGGCTCTGGTCGAACTATGGAATGGGGAGATGACCAGGGCTGTTGACACGATCGCTCCTAAGCGTCCTCTCCCACCAGGCAGAGTCCGCTCTTCCCCTTGGTACACTCCTGAATTGAGGGCGATGAAGCAGGTTGGGAGACGGCTAGAGCGTAGGTGGAGGAAATCACGAGATGAATCTGACCGAACACACTTGAGAGCCCACTATCGGGCCTATGCTGTGGCGGTGAGGGCGGCGAAAAAGAGATTTTTTTCCGCTTCCATTGCCTCCTCACAATGCCGTCCAGCGGAGCTTTTTCGAGTGGTGCATGGCCTGGTTCATCCAGGTCGGAAAGAAGACCTGATTACACCCTCAAAGGCCCACTGTGACAACCTTGCTGGGCATTTCAGGGAGAAAATCGCTCAGATTCATCACGAGCTGGATTCCACTATTGATTCAGAGGTTTCTGGGGAGACGCCAATGCTGCCGTCTGGTCCAGAATTATTGGATGAATTTCAGTTACTGCGGCCCGATGATGTGGACAAGGTGCTTGGACAAGTACGTCCCACCACTTGCCTATTGGACCCTTGCCCGTCTTGGTTAATAAAGAATTCCAAGCACGGGACTGGGATCTGGATCTTGGAAGTGGTTAATGCTTCTCTGAGGGAGGGTCGGGTGCCTGCCCCTTTAAAGGAGGCGGTAGTCCGACCGGTCCTGAAGAAGGCGTCACTGGATCCAGAGATGGCCACTAACTATAGACCTGTGGCCAACATCCCGTTTCTGGGCAAGGTGTTAGAGCGGGTGGTGGCGGGACAACTCCAAGCACTCTTGGATGAAACTGATTATCCGGACCCATTTCAGTCCGGCTTCAGACCCGGGTACGGTACTGAATCTGCCTTGGTCGCCCTGTACGATGACCTGTGCAGGGAGAAGGACAGGGGGAGTGCGTCCCTGTTGGTTCTCCTGGACCTCTCAGCGGCTTTCGATACCATCGACCATGGTATCCTTCTGGATAGGCTTGCGGGATTGGGGGTCGGAGGCACTGCTTTGCAGTGGTTCCGCTCCTATCTCAACGGCCGGTTCCAGAAGGTGGTGCTGGGGGACTGTGGCTCTGCGCCATGGCAGTACCGCAGGGGTCCATTTTGCCCCCTCTGCTGTTTAACATCTACATGAAACCGCTGGGAGAGGTCATCAGGAGGTGTGGGCTGCGGAATCATCAGTACGCTGATGATACCCAGCTCTACCTCTCGTTTTCCACCAATCCAGGTGAGGCAGTGGCTGTACTGAACCGGTGCCTGGCCGAGGTAATGGGCTGGATGAGGGCCAATAAACTGAAGCTCAATCCAGACAAGACGGAGGTCCTGTTGGTTGGTGGATCAGGCTTCGGAGAGGGTGAATTTAACCTTGTCCTGAACAGGGTTGCACTCCCTCCTAGGGACAAGGTCCGCAGCCTGGGAGTGCTCCTCGACCCAGAGCTTTCATTGGAAGCTCAGGTAACAGCAGCGGCGAGGAGCGCTTTCCTTCAGCTTTGGCTGATTCATCAGCTGCGCCCCTACCTGGAGTACGACTGCCTGGCGACAGTGACACATGCACTGGTGACTTCCCGCCTTGACTTCTGTAACGCGCTCTACGTGGGGCTACCCTTGAAGACGGTCCGGACACTTCAGTTGGTTCAAAATAGAGCTGTCAGGCTGCTGACAGGGACTGGGCGTTATGCTCACATGACTCCAGTTCTCCGTCAGCTTCACTGGCTTCCTATTGAAGTCCGGGCCCAATTCAAGGTGTTGGTAATGACCTATAAAGCCCTAAACGGCTTGGGTCCTGGTTACCTGAAGGAGTGCTTACATCCATACATGCCCAGCCGCCCCTTGAGATCAGCAGGAGAGGCCGTTCTCCAGGAACCCTCCGTAAAAGAAATTAGGAGGGTGGCTACTTGGAGGAGGGCTTTCTCTGCGGTGGCGCCTAAGTTATGGAATGCGCTCCCCAGAGAGGTCCGCCTGGCGCCGTCGTTATTTGCTTTTCGGCGCCAGGCGAAGACCTTTTTATTTAAGCGGCATTTTAACTGTTAGTATTATTTGATCTTATCTGGCCAGGGCGACTTATTTTATATTGTATTTTTTGGATTTTTAATGTTTATATTTATTGTAATTTATTGTTGTAAGCCGCCCCGAGGCTTTGGCGAATGGGACGGCATAAAAATGTTTTAATAAATAATAATAAATAATAAAATAATAAAACAGGTGCGCTGAAGAGCGGGTGAGGCTGCTGCAGGGCACAGGCGTCCCCGAAGCTGTAGACAAAGACTTGGCCAATATCCAGATGGAATATTCCTCTATCGTTTTACCCTTCATGAAGGCTCACCCAGATATCTTCAACCCCAAGGTGCACACTCTGGATTTGTATAAGAAACTGGTGGCATTTGTCATGGCCTACAGGTGAGACAAAGGTCAGGCTGGGGAGTGTCCAAAGTCACAGGTAGCCAGAAGGCAGTTTTCTGTGGATCCCAGTTTTGGAGCAGGTCTTTTGTAATTTACACTGTTCGTGAACCTCAAGCTTGTATTGTTAGCAGTTACTAGAAGAATTGTAATAACTATATTACTCTGGTCTTCCATAAGGAATCTGCAAACAGACGACCCTCAGAAGTCAGTCTGAGGCAGGAACATTTCCTGTTATCTAAAGGGGTGCATCAGATGCATTCTAATGTGTGTTATTTGAAAGACCTTGCAACTAACAGGCACGTGCAGTTTCTGTGTCTTTAGCAGCGATGGTCTGCAGCCTCTAAGCAGCGCAGGCTGTGATGAAGCTTTAAAAAACTAGTACTCAGTTTCTGAGCTTGTTGGCAACTAACTCTTAGAGTGTGGTGTCACTGTGGATTTTGCAGTTGTTGACCCTGTTACAGTGGTGCATGTTCTGGCACCACATGCATTGCCGAACTCTGCACCGCCTTCTGCTAAGCTGGCTTCCTCTCACACTTTCCTGCTTTACATCCAACTAGTTTCCAAGAACCTGTGGATGAGGAAGAAGAGCCCAGTCCTCCCGTGATGGTGCCCCTGGCAGATCTCTTGAATCATGTCGCGAACCACAACGCCAACTTGGAATATTCCTCGGTGGGCAGGGCATGTGGTGCACAAATGGGGCCAGACCATGTGGGGGGGGGGGGGAGCACGTGTGGAATAATGCACGTTGGGGCAAAAATTCCCAACTTCAAGGCACAGGCTGAGGGAATCTGAGCTGGCAGAGACTGAGCAAGGAAGGGATCGTGGGGGGCAGCTCAGTGCTCAGCGGCTGCGAAGAAGGCAAGCCCCTCCTCGCTGGGCGTCGTTCAGGATGGAATCGGGGAACGGGACTGCCAGAATTTTACTTGCCTAACACAAACCTTTGATGTGACCACACTTGGAATACTGCATTCAGTTTGGGTTGCCTTACCTGAAAAATGGCATGATTAAGCTGGAAAAAAGCACAGGGAAGGGCAAGAAAAATGAGGAGCGGCTGCAACAACTGTGCCTGTCAGCCTGGAAAGAAGCCCAGGAAGGGGAGACATGGCAGAAGTGCTTAAAACAGTGCAAGGTGTGGAGACAGCCGAGGGGGCGTAACTCTCCCTCTCCCATAGCACTTGGACCCAGGCTGGCTGGTGGCAGCTTTAGGACAGACAAGAGAAAGTGCTTCTTCGCCCAGCGTATAGTTGATCTGTGGGATTGCTGCCATGGGAGGTGGTGACGGACACCACACCGGATGGCTTTGAAGGGGACTGGGCCGACTCATGGAGGAGAAGGAAGCTGTTGGAGGCCACGAGCCTTGCTGGCTGTGAGCTCCCTCCTGCAGCAGCGGTGGCCTGCCTGCATGCGCCAGTCGCTGAGGAGCTTTGTAGAGGGCCAGGCATGGCTGGAATGTGCATTCGCGTGACTCGTCCTGGTTTTCATCTAGGACTCGGCTGCCTTTTAAGAATCCAGGAAGACTTCTTTTCGTGATACTGTGGCAGTGTTCCTGGTTCACCAGTTCTCTTTGCTTAGTAGCAGCTTTTGCTTTCCTCGTCTGCCAGGCTGCTGGGTCTCATGTTTTTTCCCCTTTTCACGGATGCTTGAACTTCAGCCTGTCTGCTTTTGGGAGGGCTCTCCCCCCCACCACACCCCTACTTCTGCCTCCAGATTCCAGTGAGAAATCCCCTCTCCAGATTGCCCTCCTTTTCTGACGGGAGCTCAGGGCAAGTGCAGCCGCCTTAGGGGACATTTGGGAATGTTCATAGAGCTTTGCATAGAAGACCAACCACAGACCAGACCAAGCCCCTGGGTGCCGCCCTTCGCTTTTCCCCACCTTTGCTTCTCCCGCACCCTATTCCATCTTCTTTCCTCATTTATTGCAAAAATGCTTGAGTGCAGCAAAGAGTTAGAGAAGGTTTTCGGGTGTGTGTGCACACCGGGGGCAGGGGGAATCGTGTTTCTTGAGAAATTATCAGTATTTAAATGGTGTTTGTCAGGTCTACTGTCCCGTTCTTTTGGTAGAAGTCCTTGAAAATGGTTGCAACGCAGCGGATCCCCAAGGGCCAGGAGGTCTTCAACACATATGGCCAAATGGCAAACTGGCAGCTCCTGCACATGTATGGCTTTGCTGAGCCTTATCCTGGCAACACAAACGATGCCGCTGACATCCAGATGCTGACGCTGTTGAAAGCCGCACTGCAAGGCAAGTGGCTGGCCGGAAGATGCCCACGGGGAGCACTGGTCACCAGGGCAAGAGGGTGTCCAGAAAGGACCCCTTCTCTCTCCCCTTGCAGGCCCGGGCAGGCCCCCTGGGGCACGACCAAGGGCAGAGGCACTCAGCTGGCTCTCCAGCACTGGGCAGGGCCTCTGCCAAGCCAATAAAAAGCCCGTGGAGCACTGCGTGGCACAGGCAGCCGCCCCCCCACCCCACCCTCGCGGCAGCCCTCGTGGGCAGAGAAGGCTGAGCACGGTGCGTCTCTCTCCTGAGCCAGGGCGCAAGGCAGCAGCAGAACGGCGGCTGGTCTCGGAGCAGTGGGCCTTCCTGTGCCGCCAGGAGGTGGTGGGCGAGGAGGGCGCTTTTGTGATGGGCTGGGAGCGAGTCTTCACGGAAGAGGAGCTATACACAGCCCTGAAGGTGAGTGACGAGAGCTGCTCTGCTGCTGTGCAAGTCAGCTCCTGCGGTGGCCTGTCAGCCACTCGCTTGCCTAGTGCACTTGCCTTTTGCTTCAAGGGGTGCCAGGTGGGACTCGCCCACAGCTGCCTCACCCAGAGGGGCCTTCGGGGAGGGTGGCCCTTCCTGCCCCAGGGGCAGCAGCACTCGGAGCAGCTCCTGATCACCAGGCCCATGTTTCCATGTGGCTTTCCAGCACTACGCTGCCTTACAGAACTGAGGAAGCACGGAACATGCAGCCGTACCATGGTTCACTGCGGCCCCCTCGGCCAGGCCCGTCCCAGGGAGAAGCTGCGTGCAGAAGCAGCTCCTTCGCTGCCCTCTCCACTGAAGGCATCCTCCTCATGCCCAGCGTGAGCCCGACGGCGGGCACGGGCACTGCTGCACTCGAAGCACAACCTGGCAGCATGTGGCAGCACCTGAGGGCTTCCCCTGCAGGCTGGGCAGCAGCGAGTCCTCGGGTGGCCTAGTCCCTGATGGCCTTGGCGTGCAGCAGCGCTTCTTGTTCCTCCCTTTGCCTGCAAACAGCCCCGGGGAACCTTGCTTGCTGTGTGGTTCCTCTCACAAGCTGAGCCTCACTTTGTGCTTTAACTCTCCTGGCGATACAGGCTTTGGCCCGTTTCTGCTTAAAAGGTTGTAGTGTACCTTTCATCCACTTTCTTGAGTGTACCTTGCTGTCCACTGACAGAAGGATCTTCCTGGGCCAGCGATTGAGCCTGGCCTAGTAATCCACAAGGACCGCTGTGGGAAGCACTTCTGGCAAGCCCCAGAGGTGGGGCTTTGAAGCTCTGTTTCTGTTCAGCCCTGTCAATCCCAGGTTTATCTCTTTGCATGTGTGCAGGTGTTAACTATGTCTGAAGAGGAATTCACAGTGTTCAAAGAGCAAGAGGATGGAATGGGTGCAGCTGGCATGGACTGCCTGATACTATCAAATGCCACCATCTCGAGCCTTAAGGCCTCCTGGAAGAAACTTCTCTTTGACGCCACACAAATGACCCTGAAGCTGTACAGCTCGGACCTGGAGGAGGAGGAGCGAGTGCTGAAGGACGTGCGGGCCTATTCCAAGCTCAGCTGCAGGGAGCAGTTTGCCCTGCAGGTGCGCTACGGCCAGAAGCGGATTTTGCATCAGTGGCTTGACTGGGCCAGATAGATGCAGCTGAGTGGCTGCACCGCTGCGGCTGGACTCCTTTGTGGCAGTCTTGTGGCGAGAGCGCGGTAGCTCTGTATGAGAGGCAGGCCTGTTTGTATTAGTGAGCTCATCAGGTGGCATGGGGTAGCTGTGCATATCGCGTGCTCTGAAAGGCTTCCCTTCAATCCATGGACTGAGGTGGCGAAATGGAGTCCATAAATGCATTGAGCATGACTGCTACTTCACTGCACAGCTTTCACTTCAAGGGCTAAAGGTCTGTTCATTTCTTATGGTACATAATTTGAAAATGACAAAAGTGGCTGCAGTGTGATATATAATTAACAGTTGTTTCCAAATCTGTATCTCCCTTTTTTGCCTGTATTCAAACTTTGAGCAAGAGGTGGCTCAGCTTTGTTGATCCCCTTCTTCTGTCTTGCTCTTGCTCTCCTAGGAGAGGCTAGCTCCGTTTCTGACACTGCTTCTGGAAGCCCCTTTGATTGGGCATGCAATTCAAGACTTCTGTTCCACCCAGACTGAGTTCTGAGGGCTTGAAAAAAGAACCCTCTGCTGCAACTGTATTCTTTCCTTGTTTCTACATCTGGCCTTCACTCGACTTTTGCAGTTTAGTTGGAAATGTGGAGAAGCGTAAGATGCTTCTGTAAACTATTTCTTTTGCAATGATATGCTTTATATGATTGGCTTTTACTTGGTCAAAAGTTGCACTATGCCGATTCTGTGAGCTTCAGGGACTGATTGGATACTTTGCTGAGCCTGAGGCTGCTGCCTTTGTTAGGAAAGGCATATACGGGCCTTCAGCTTAAGGTCCTAGTCCAAGGATCGCTGTCTTGCATTGGGCAATGGGCTGGGTAGGCAGAGTAACTCACAGAAGAGGCTTCCTTTCTAACTCGGAATGGAGCATGCAGATTATCTATTTTAAATACTCTTTTTCATGTGCCAGCTGTGTGCCTTTCACATTGATCTTTAGATGACCTTGGAGATACTACAGGGAAGCATCCCTGACTGCTCCCTGGGATTGTTTGCAAGCTGGAAGCACTGCTTTGGGAGTCTCACTGAACACAAGGGGCTTACTTGGACGCGTGCAAGATGGTTCAGTAAGGGCCTCTGTGATCCTGTGGTCTTGGAGCTGAGACTCTGAAGGCCAAGCCCCTGGTTGCAAACAGGCCTTGCCTTGGTATGAGGGAAAAGGGGGTGTTCCCTAGGAGGGGACCACAGCAGGCTGAAGCCACAGAGTTACAGCTGAACCAGCTGAAACATGTTCTCGACCCCATCCTGGGCATCGGCCTGAAGCACTCACGCTTCTGAATCCCACGCCTGCTTCCTTCAGAGTAAGTGCTACAAAACAAAGTGGATCTCCTAAACAAGCATGCATGGATCTCCTAAACAAGACATTAATATTAAGATATTAATTATATTAATATTTTAATATTAAGATAATATTACTATTAAGAGTATTAAGTGCTCTGAAAATTATGTAGATAACCTTAACATGCTGAGTTTTAAAAGCTGGCATATAGTGAAGTCTTTTTCTGTTTCAAGATTTCTGATTCTTTCATCACGTGTCTAAAGACTATAAAGAACGATTCTTGCTTACGCTTCAGCAGGATTTCAGCTTTACCATGAGTTAACCTTCCTCCTTCCATATAAGAGCATGTTCTGTGTTACCACACATAGTAAAATACATTTGTATTTTCCGGGATGCCGATTGGATGAACTCTGAAGAGTATTAACTGCTTGGAGAACAAGGATGCTGATGCTTGTCATGACTTTAATGTTTAACTACAGAATGCATACATACAAGAAGTGGGAGAACTAAAGCCCAAGAGAACTAGAAAGGCTACAAAATACAACACATGGACCAATACATTTACAAAACATTCAAAATCCTTACAAAATGGGCTGTATTGGTCCTTTTGTTCTTTTTACAAACTCAAACTTTGTGGCCACAGCGGATCAGTTAATAGATTCACACCCGCCCCTTCCCAAAATTTACAAGTGTCATGAAAGAAAATCTACAGGCCTGGTCTTGTTTCTCTTGCTAAAACAACCAGCCCTCTCCCACAGGGCTTGAGGGGTATTTTGCCAAGGAGCTTTCAGGTCTAATGCCTGTGCCTCCTGCTGGCAGCACTGGATACTGGGAAAAGCAGCGCACTGGAGCCCAATCTTAACCTCTCCTCCTCATTCCCCCTATATTCCGTAGGATCCCATGTTCCAACACATTCAATTTTTCTCTTTGACAACTTTGTGATTTATAGCTCCCCCACCCACAAGAAAAATAAGTTACATAATATTTAAACTGGCTTTTCCATACTCTTTGGGAGCCTGGGAATGTCAGGCGAGCAGACCTGCCCCGGACGAGCGCTTGGTGTCAGCAGCCGGTCAGGCAGGCACCTGTTACGTGCCTCTCGAACACAGTTTGCACAAACCCAAAGTCTAGACAGATATTTCTGTTGTGTATATTTACAATAGTTCAAAATTATATTCACAGCATCTTCTGAATTTTGGCCAAGAGTCAGAACTTTGTTTTAAACTTTGGAACTTGCCCACATAGGAGGAAATTTCTCACGCAAAAATCCATGATGTAAGCCCAACGTGAGGGAGGGGGATGCAGCCTCCAAGGTCTGGACAGACCCACAGACGTTCTTCTGGCAGCTTGATGGGTTGGAGACCTCCAGGCGGACATGCTTTCCACAGTGTGTCTCTCCCCTAACTGGCTCCAGTTCCTTCCATTACTTGTTGTGCCTGTTTTTGCCCCATGCAACATTGTGCCACCGACTGGAACAGCCTGCAACAGGGAGAACAAGCCTCTTGTCAGGCCCCTGCTCTCTCGTCTGGAAGCGTGAGAGCCCCTCCGATCCACTCCACCCAAAGAACACTCCTAAATTACTCACTTTTCAATTTCTGGAGCACAGTGAACAAATTCATGGTTCCAAAACTTAAATGCTGGGTTCTTTATCAGCTCAATGAAGGTAATTAGGAGACCCCAAGGGTGAGGTCTGTTTACAATCAGCCGCTCTAACAAAACTCTGTAAGAAGAGAAGCGAAAGTGAGGCACGGGGCAGGGAGGGTCACGCTTGCAGGACACAACCTGGCAGGTGACCCGGCAAAGCCGAGTCCTGCTTGCCCGGAGGAAGCAGCACGCAGGACCTGGCAGTCCCGAAGGACTGCAGTGACACTGGCAGTGCGCCTGCCCAGTGCTGCCTTCAGAACTTGCAACGCCTCAGAGGCCATCCTTCCAAAGAAGGGATTATGGGGTTTCTGTTTCTGGGCTGTGCCATGTCAAAGCCATGTGGACGGACAGCCACCTGTGCAAGAAAGACATCCCAGCACAGAGAGAACTTAGGTTGTGAGGAGAGGGCATCTGTCCTGGTGTCATTCGCTTGTCCATCCCCCTTGGATCAACACAAGAGGGGAACTTTTTGTTGTGCCAACAGCAGAGAACCTTCTCCCTGGGGCCCAACTTGGAGGGCGCTCTCTTGCCTGGCCAGTGAGGCTTGTGAAGACAGCTAACTGCCAACCGCAACACTGGCTAATACTTGGGTGGGGACGAACTGCTGGCTGCTACCCTAGCTTTTACACCAGGTCAGACTGTGAAAACCAAGTTCAGGTTCTTCAGAGCAGGGGTGCGCAGACTTCAGGCTTTCTTGGGGACAGGGTTTACCAACCCTAACAAAAAGCCTCCCATTTCATGCAAAAGCCATTCATGCAAGGGAAAGAACCTATTTTGAGTCTGAATTTGCCTTGGAGTACTAGAAGTGGATGGAGCTCATCTATGAAGTCTTGGAATCAGACATTAGGAGAGCTAGAAAGGGCCAGAGGGCGATGGGTCAGTCCAGGACTCCAGGTTAAACCATTCCTCTCAGATGGCTGCCCAGCTGCATCTCACACGCCCCAGGGTGGGAGCGCCCCAGAGCCATTTGCTGTAGTCGCCCCAGGCACTCTGAATTTCAGCAATAAATTTAAGGTAAGAGGGAAGCTGCTTTGTAGTTGGGAGTCGGGAGTCCTCCAGTCTTCCCAGGCTGTCCAGACCAACATGGTGCCTGTCTGCCCCAGTTTCACAATACTATTATTTAACTGCAGCAGTGGATTTCTCACCTGGTGATCTGCTCTTGAATAGCTTCAGTGTTGGCTTCCGCAAATAAGTAAAGCATAGTGCAGCTAAAATAGTGAGTGTGACTATTTGGGTAGCGTAGCTGATTGGCAATTGCGTTCAAGAAGAGGTACCGACCTGCCAAAAGAAGCGGGGAGGGTGGTGAGTGGTGGCAGGGGCTTCTCAACAGGCACAGAGGAAGCTCCAGCCAAGTACAGCTAATCTGACCTTCCACTTCCGTAATCCCAAAGGCTAACTCAGCAGGAGGTCTGCCAGCCACAGGGCCCTCAGATGCACAAGCACAGGCTTCTGCCTCCCAGAACGGGGCAGTTCAGGCACAGGACAACGTGGCTGGCCTGCAAAGGAAGCTGCTCAGCACAGGAAGCCATGGGCACGTGCGCTGAGTGTGGACGAGCCCGGAGACCACACAGGCGCAGGCGAAAACCCCTGGCAGCGTGAAAGAAGCCATCCGGTTCTTGGGCTTCCCAGCGGAAGCAGAGTGGCAAATGGCACTGCCCCCTGCATCTTCCGAGGCACGCTTTTCATGGTCCGGGAAGCTCAAGGCGTTCTCTGCCCTTGCGCCACCCTCAAAGTGTGGTCTAAGCTGCTGTCGTTACCTTCTGTGTCCAAATCAACAGCGAGGTTCTGGAAGATGTCCATGTGAGCCGAGTGGGTGATGGTGCTCATGGAGGGCGTGCTGCCTTTGTTGTGAATGTGCGCAATAGCCTGGGTGCCCACATACAGCACCAGCGCATTGATCAGCTGGATGTTGTAGCGGTTGCCAGGCTCGTTGGAGACCTGTGGGGGGGAGGCAGAGCAAGAGGCGTCAGGGTGGGCAGAGGACACCGAAGAGGTCTGCTCACTCTTCCAGGATCGCCTTGCCAGAGCGAGCAGCTTTCCAGCTGTGCACTAAATTCGCAACATCTGCACGCCAGGAGTACCCCCCCCCCCGCCCCGTGGAGGTGATGCAGGCCCCGTGCCGGGATGCAAGCTGGGCTTTGGGTGCCCAATGGAAGCTCCTGTGCTTTGGGAGGTCCTTTCTGCACAGAACGTCCCACGCGCTCCCCAGCTGGATTTCAACGGCCTCCCCCAAATCCGGCTTGGGCTGCGTCACTTGCCTGCAAGTTGCTGCGCAACTCGGAGAGGAATGTGACTGGAGAGCGGGTTTTCAGATAGGAATCCAAATCCTTCTTGAACTGAGGCGGCATCACACCTGTGAAATTGGTGAGTATCCTTGGAGCAATATTGATCTCGCTCAGCATGTCCACCTGAGAAGAAGACAGGCAAGCGCCCCAGCACTGTTTGAAAGGTTCTGCTTCCAGTGTTATTGCGCAGCTGCACCATCTCCTCGTGGCAGGAAACAGACCTCTCCTTGTAACGCTCAACCGCTTGGAAATGTTTCCTCACCTGACATCTAAGGTTCCTCAGCTGCTCGCTCACTGACTAAACGCCAGTGGGGTGTCCTGGTTAAGGTCCTGCACTGCAGCTCAGGGTACCATACCTGACAACTGCTGAGCTCTCGGGACACCTCTGGGCCAGCCACTGATACCTGCCAGCCTTCCAAACCGGCTCGGTGGGATGGCAGGATACAGTGTCCAGAGCCCAGCCCGGTTCCATGCCCTGACCCGCCAACAGTGCACTGCAGGCACAGAAACAGGCCTTTAAGAACCCCTGCAAGGGTCAAGCTGGCTCTCAAAGGGCCTTCCTTCCATTCAGCTGTTACCACTGGAAACTTGTACGCGACACCAGAGCAGCGGCAGTCCAGGCATTTACTCCAAGGGCGTCTCTGTTGCCGTCCTTGGAAAAATGACGCATAAGCAGAGGGACACCCCAGTCCCTCAGGAAAGCCGGGTAACCGCTTGACCACTGCGCGGTGTCTGCCACGCAGTCTCTGACCAAGCGTTCACTGTGATGCTCCTGACCTGGAAGGTCGATGCCAGGTGGAGAATTCAAATTGGGCAGAGCAGTGTGAACAGGCCAGCCGCAGCTTCCTGTGAGATCTGACCCTGAGGAGGAAACGTTTCTGCAGGTAGCGGCCACCTCAAAGCCCTGGGCTGCTTTGGGGTTGGGGACAGGTCTGGCAACCTGCCAGGATATGCAGAACAGCCAGGCCCACCTGGAGGTCTGACTGAGCAGGACTGGGATCAGGCCCGTCCTCGCAGGGGTCAGAGCGATTGCAGCCCTGGAAACCAGCTAGAGCTCCAGGAGGGGCCCTAAAAGGCCATTTGTCTCACCCTCTGCGGGGGCTGCTGCTTCACAGTCCCAACTGGGCTTCTCTACTTGGCTTGAATCTGGCTTGCTCTCGACGCTGCCTTTGCCTCTGGGTTCCACCACGCCATCGCCTGGCCTTGGCTTCTGTCCCGCCTGGCCAGCATCTCGCCCATGCTTGGCCTGACTTCGCCCTGGCCTCTGTCCCTACTGTCTCTCGCCAAGACCTCCGGCCCTGGTTCTTCAGCTGCTTGCATCCTGAAGCCAGTGCCACTGCCAACACCACCGTCAACGGCACCACAGTGCACCCTGCCATGCTCTGCCACAGTGGCTGCTGCTCAACAAGCCACGGCGGGCCATGGCATGCATAAAACCAGGCCCCTGACAGCTTCCTGGGTGTTCCCAGGCAGGCTTGCTACACAACCATTGCATTACCTTAAGGTTGGGAGTGAAGGGATCTGGAAGCCTCATGTTTCGTGGGAAGGCACTCAAGATGAGATTCCGTAGCTGAATACAGTTTGGAGGGATCACATCACAGAATCCATAGTGGTAGTCACAGAGGAATTCTGGGAAATCATGTAGTAAGACCAACAGCACACGCAGAGTGCCCTAAGGGACGAGAGCAAGCAAGAGGGTGAGATGCCTCTGGAAAGCGCCCCTTCCACTGGCGAGCACGGCAGGGCACCAGAAGCCCCCAGGCTCCCAGTCTGGCCTTGTCCTACTCAGCCAAAGCTCGCACCAGAATCCTCCCCTGCTCAGTCCTTTCAACTAAATATGGATGGAACCCTTGCCATAACTTATGATGCACTCTTCTAAGAGCAAGTATGGTGAGCTCTGGCCACAGGAAGAGGCTGGTCCAAACCCCTTTCTGCTCCATGAAAATACGGGCCAAAATACCATACGCATCTGCTCCCGCACAGCTGAGGGCAGCACTTGCTTTCGCCAAATGCAACTAATGTTAAAGCCAGAACTTCCAAGGTCCCTCAGGCGCTGCAGGGCGTGAGAGCCAAACCTGCGAGGCAACCCTAAACTATGAGAGATTCTAGTTACACTGGGAAACTGGACCGAGTGTTGCCCTACATACAACCATCTCGCTGGCTACCACAGCAGAGGGGGGCCGGGCCGGGCCCAGGCTGCATTCGTTGGTGGTCAAGGAGTCCTCATTGGCCCAGGCATTTTTGTCTTTTAGCTATGTTTCCAAATCTATTACTGGATTTTAAATTTTAAATCTACGCTGCTGCTGATTTAGCACTGAAGTTTTAAACTTTAAAACTTGTGCCGTAGCTCAGAGGTCTGATCATTGCAAACCACCCAGTGCATTTTGGCTATTAGGCAACACAGAATTCTAACCAAGGACTGAATCCTAAAGGTGTTATGTGGAATCAAATCCACTGATTTTCAACTGAAACTGGTTCCATATTTGAGGAGCTGCCTTCCATGAGAAAGAGCTCTGGTTGGAGAATATCCCCTCACCCAATTTGGGGGGTGGGGGGACCTTCCTCCCCAAGCCCAGCTCATCCTGTTCAGCAGGGTCCCCCTCTCTGTGCAGTTTTCGGGGAGTGGAGAACCCACTTGTGCAAGTACAGTGGAGCTGGGAGAATTCTGGATCCAACTCATGGCCCTTCGGAGTGGGACTGGTGGATGCAGTATTATAAGGCACAGAAAGAAGCCAGCATCACACAATTGTTAGGGGAAACACTGTGAGGACCAGGATGGGGAGCTGCCTAAATATTTGTTCCCATTTTTTGTGCGGGAAACAGCTTTCAACTAATCCTCCTTTGCTCTAAGAGCAACTTCCCTCCAAAATGCTCCGCACAGACAACAGCATAATTTACCTTATACAGGATTTGCATAGGTTTGGCAAGTTCCACGTTCCGCAGAAAAGGGGCTAAATATTTAAACAGGTCGATCAACAGCTGAGCATACATAGGCCAACCCTATAAAGAGAAATAATATAATGAGAAAAGTTATGTGAGTTCTGCTCATTTCTGTGTTACAGGCTCAGGACAAGTTCCCACTGGACATCTGTGTGGTGGAATTAGCTACAGGGCTATGGCAGATGAATTTTTTAATCTCTCCCTGAAATTTGTACTCAGGGAGTAAAGGTAACTAGCCAGCCTTGCATAGCAAGGGGTGCTTCAGAGGTTGACCTCTGGGCTTGAGGGAAACCGAATAATGAGTTTACTGGAACGACTCCCCCAAGAACTGCAAGAACGCAGTGTGGGCGGCAGGCAGGCGGGCCTGCCGGCCGGCCAGCATCACAGGCAGGGAGCAGCACACAACCTTGCAGCCGAACATCTGCGACAACCAGCACAGATCTGATTTTATGTTATGCTTTAAAGAAATGTCCAATCAAGTTTTAAGCTGCCACTAAAGAGGGCATTTACATTCTCGAGGATGGAATCCTTCCTTCGCACGAGTTCTGGCTGCCCTTTCTCCTACACGCCAGGCTCTCCCTGCTGCCTTGCCTCTGGCCATGCAGAGGATCCAGAGCCGGACTTGTTCGCCGCCACCCACGGGCCAGCGCGCAGTCACGCATTTCCTGCAGCAGGAGCTGGCAGTGAATTAATGGGCAGAGCAGCTTGCTTCCTATGCGGAAAATGAACAGGCCTTGTTTGCTCAGAGTGGAGGCCGAGACCTGCACAAAAACCCGGGCCAGCATCGTGGAGCGCCCTGCCCAGAGCGTCCCGTGAGGAGGACTTGCCACCCCCTCACCTGGATCACCGCACTCGGCAACACCGTTGCTGCACCTCTCCTGGCATACCTTTGCGCCTCATACGTATCTTCCCCACTATTTTATACAGTAAAGCAGATTTCAAGTCACTGGCTCAAACCATCATGCAGATCAAGAGCCAAATGCAGGCTCAGCCACAATTATTTGAGTTTTGGCCAGGCAATCCATCAAACAATCTGGGAGACATTTGAAAAATGTCCTCCTTTCTTCCACCCCACTGAGAGCACGGGGCTCAGTGTTCCTTCAGATAATAAGCTGAGTAACCCCGCAGCTCCTTCACGGGAATATGGGACACTAAATGAGCAATGCACACCAAAAGCCATAAAGTCATTCTAGTTAAACAAAACCTGCAAACCAAGATGCATCCTTATGCCCTGTGGAAGCTTCTTAAGTTACAGAAGATAAACTGCAGCCACACCTTCTGCTGTGGGGTATGTGCCAGCATTCTTGCGATAAATATCCGATGGGAGATCAGCTCTAGCCAGGCATAAACAAAGCCAGGAGCTTTTGTAGGTCTCAGGATGTGAAATGTGTTACTGAAATGAAAACAGAGCACACATTTGTTCCTTACAGCATAGGGAAGAATCGGCATTCTCTTCTGCACCAAGAATATCTTGCCAGGCCATCAGCTTTCCAAGGGAAACAAGGGGAAATTCTCCCTAATACACTACACCTTCTGCTGTTATTTTACTATTTTTTATTGAAGAGCTGCAGACGAACAATCTGGGAAGCCTGAATATTGAAATATAACTGCTTTCCTGTTTGTTTGTGCATTACAAGGGGTGGCCTCCCCCCGCCAGTGTCTATACCACCCCTAGCTGTGCCCCCACCCCCGCACAAAAAACCCACCAGGCAGTCCTGGCAGAAATGTGTGGGAAATGTTGGGAAATGCTGGAAAAGATGCAGGACCCTGAAAAGGGTCAAGTACAGCCGAACTCGGAGGATCTCCCTGAGAAGGGGGTGTTCTCCTAGTCACAGTCTTTCTGCCTTGCATTCCCTTCACAGTTTGCCTTGTGGGAGCTGTCAAGGGAAAGCAAAGTAAAAAATAAAAGTAACAGCCAACGTCATCACTGGTGTCCGTTGCACCTGCATGTCTCAGGTGTGTCAACCCAGCATGCAAAAAATAAAGAGCACTGAGTTCCACAAGAGCCCTACTTCCAGCCCAGGGAACAGGGCCAAAGCCTGGGGCACCAGACAGAAGAGAGACAACGAACCCAAGCGACGTGCTGTCCCAGGCCCAGAACTGCCCTCTTAACCCTTCCAGGAGAAAAGACGGCGGGCCTGAGGGGCTCTAGGGCAAGGCTCCCACAGACATGTGCAGGTTGACCTCACGTGCAGGAATTCTAGCAGCAGACCGGTTCACTTAATGAACCCACATTTAAATTTATACATGAATAAACTAAAACATTATGCTCAAAAGATCTCAATGCATACAAAATTCAGCAATGCTTACCAGAAAGCTGTGAGCGTCTGAAAGTTTATGGTTTCCAGGACATGTTCAGGAGCATTTAATTCCAACAGCAACATGATGAAGATGCGGTGGTAGGGAAGCTGCTGAAATTCACTCTGCCGGACGTCGTGATCTTGGAGAAGGACTCCCACCACTATCCCAAGAACCTGTAGAGGACACACGACCGGATTACTGCCACGCCACTCCAAAAGCGTATTAGTGGCTATACATTTGAAAGAAAAAGATTGCTCTGTAATTGGCAAAGCTCGGGGGGGGGGGGCACTCTGTGGTCCTGGCTAAGGTTTACAGAGAATGCTCTGAAGGGTTGATACTGGTTGCAACCCACTTTTTCTCCTCTCGTTAGGATGCTCTTGCCACACCAAGCCTGTGAGGCAGCTCATGCTGAGCGTGAGGGGCTGGCCCAAAATCTCCCAGTGAGGAACCAGGACCTGCTTCTCCCAGGTCCCCAGCCCAACACTTCTGAACACCACAGCGGCTATTTCTATCACACTTGCCCCAACCCTCAAAGTGCTTCACAGGCAATCTCTCGGCAATCCGATAGAGGAGGACAGCACCCCCGTTCCAGGCGGGATAAGGCCAAGAGGCACAGTGGAGCTGCAACAAAGACCAGGAAGCGCCTGGCTGGGGCTGGGTGCATTGGGTCGGGCCCACTCCCATTCATCCCAGGAAGGTTTGCTGCAACTGGCTCTCCAAAAAAGGCACGCAGGCAGGCCATAAATGCCATGGACCAGGAGGAGGAGGAGGGGCAGCGGTGGAGCAAATGGCACCAGGCAAGCCTGACTTCAACCATCTCAGTAGGAGACTTGTACCTTGTTGAGCAGGTTGATCTTCGTGACAGTGTTGGTGGCCTCCCCAGAATGCTTCACCAGCAGCGCAATGAGGCGCACAAAAGCATCCAGGTTGTGGTAGCACTTGGCACGAATCATGGTGGGGTTTGCAGCAGGGTTGTGCTGCTGCTCGGCTTGTGCCCGATAGCTGATCTCGACACACATTTCAGTGCAAAGACGGAAGAATCTCGTGATCAAGTCATCAGTCTTCAGGATTCCTTGTTGATGCATCTATTATAGGGACAAGGGGAATCTCAGGGCCACGGAACCCTCCACTGTTCCAAGGGCAAGCTACCGACATTTTGCTTATGCAGAGTGGAAAGCAAATGCACTAAACCGCGGCGGTGCCCATTTTACGGACTGAAACGGATCTGTTGATGTTGCAGGGCAGGATCTCCTTTCCAGGAACTGGGTGATGAGGTTACTGGTACGGTGAGGACAGTTGCCTGCCGCACACGGAGCACCTATAAATCAGCATTCCTGGTGGTGCCCACAGCACAGGCCAGACCCCAGGGAGAAGAGCAAGCTGGGAAGCCCCCATGCTCTAGGGAGAGATGCCACCCCAGTGGCCTGGACTGCCCTCCAGGAGCCACGGGGGAGGGCCTCTTTGCTGTGCCTGCAGGAACGCAGACCACTCTGCCCCCGAGTTGCCTGCGCAGCACAAGGGAGCTCTGGCAGCACTCGTCTGGGAAGAGGAGCAGCTGCTGCTCTTCACTTAAGTGTTCGCTTCCCTTCTGCCAAGGAGATCAGCATTTGCCTTTTCATTTTGACTTACAGGAAAATTCTCCAGCCTGAGTGCAGAGTTTGCTGATGCATGCCACTTTCAAAAAAGAACAGCTTCTCCTCAGTGGAGGACCTGCAGCCTGCCTGGTTTGCACTTGCAAACAGCAGGAGGGCAACACATGCCTGCCTAAAGGTTTGGAAAAGCTACACTGCTTTTCACAGAAGTATGCAGTGTACAGTGAAAAACCCCAGGCCCAAAGTGCCGCCTGCTTGCCCCATTCCATGCCCTTATTCACACAGGGGAATTGATTTCTGCCTCTGCAGAGCATGTATGCAACAAAAGCACACCTCAGGTTAAAAACGAGGCGGTCATGCTTTGTCCCTGTACTTCAGAACAGAATGAACATTCCATTAGGACTGTTGCCACACTCTAACTTATTAAACATTTTACACATCTCATGAAGGACAAAACCATCATTCAGACCTGCCCCTCTCAACTGGTACCCCCTGGTGCATGCAATGAGTGCTGTGAGCTCCCGTTCAGCTGTTTCATTTATTATTATGCTTCTGTTTCCACTGCCTGCCCTCCTCTTTCAAGGAATTCAAGATGTCCTCAAGAGTTGTCCTGCTCTCCATTTTATTCTCACAGCGTATAAGTAGGCGAGGACCAGCAAATGGCCCCAAATCAAAAGGCAACCTTCCCGGCAGTGCGGGGACTAGAAGCCAGGTCTCTGGCAAGGCTGGGAATTCCAGCCCAACAGATCCAGAGGGCACCTCATTAGGGATGGAAAATTTAGATAACGGCACATAAGAGATCAGCTGAGAAATTATGACATTTGAAGAAACGACACAGGGGAACCAACACGGCAACGTGGCATTTAATCGATGGGCATCCTACCAAACTGGTGCTGAGCAAAAAACACCTCTCTGTCCAAGCTCTACCTGTCCAACAAATGCAGAGAACGCCTTGGTGCTGTCACGGCCGGCTGCAGCAGAGTGATAGAGATTCACCCACTCCCTCAAGAGGTACTCTGCCTTCTCCCGCAGACCAGGGGGATCATCGTACTCAGAGGCCTGAGATATTCCAGAGTGCATCATAAAGTTGGGCCCGCCATGAGCACGGTCAATCATGGCCTCGTAGTTGGACCGTACCACTTCCATCAGCTGCGGCAATCTGCGAAAAGTCCAGAAGGCGGGTTTCAGGTCCTCCGTGCACTGCATGCTCAGGCCTAAGCACTAGCGCTTTGTTTCCAACGGGGGAAGGAAGGTGCTTGTGCTCACGGCACGTGGACCAGCATCCCAGTTCTAGCAGGCCATACAAAGGAGGTAGAAAAGCTTAAGAGCTGGGAAATCTGCACCTGCTAAATAAGGTGGGGAAAGGAGAACTACACAACATAGAAAAATAGTCTGGGTCCCTCTGCTTTGCTTCAAGTAACAAAGGGAGACATCCACAAGACAGCAGCGTGAGCAAGGATGGGGTGGCTTGGTGGGACCAAGCCATGATGAGGGGCCCAGGGCTGCCGGGACTGGAGGCAATGAGAGATTTAGGTGGCAAGCCTCGCCAGTGGGAATTCTCTTAGAGTTGCCAATTAAGGTCAGGAATTTAGCATTTGGCTCGAGACTCTTTCTTAGTCGCATCTCAATCCTCTTTGCTTCCACAGGAAAGAAATGTCCAGGATGGTCTGGATTTAATTTCCGAAGTCTTGTCCTTATACAGTAAGCTAAATTAAAGATGAAGACTAAGGCAAAAGGGACTGAACCACCCAAGTAGTGACACCAGTGAGAGAAAGAGGCATGTCAGAGCCTCGGCTTTGTAGGACACAGCACTTTCAAGATGTGAACACTCCTGAAATAAGTCTCAGAATTACCCTTCTGGCGCATTCCCCCTGGAATGAGCATTGATCCTCATCAGAGTTTCGATAGTGTGAAACAGATCTGCTTCTGTTATGTGAGCGACACTTCTCTCGTCCACCAAGAGGATCTTCACCAGCTGCATCGCAAATGCCACTGCCATGTAGTTCAAGCCATTCTCCATGGACTGCCATTGAAAAGAGCACAAACTGGTGAACTGCCTTCAATTCAGAGGCAAGCATACAGACGTAATACAAAGCCAGTGCCAGTATCTCACCTGGGCCAGGTGGAGGTCATACTGCTGCATGTTCACAAGGTGGTTACGGATCAGTAGCTCCACCGCTTCAACGTTGTACTTATATTCATCTCGACACTCAATCAAGCACCTGGAAAAGTCACTTCCTTGAGTCAGTTTGGTTTCCCTCCCCATCCCAATTGCCTGAGCAGACGACTGCGATAATTCCATCTTCGGATATCTCACACAATCAGTGAAGTTCAAGCACACTCTTCAAGAGCCACAGGAGGTCAGCGGAAGCCCTCCCCAACCTGGCACCCTCCAGGTGTGCTGGACTCCCAGCCAGCGCAGCCGATGGCCGTGCTGTCCTGGAATGTGCTGTCCCGTGCGGGGGGGGGGGGCAGGTTGAGGAGGTTCTGCCTATGCTAAGAACCTGGTGCCCTCCAGCTGTGTCAGAGCCTGATTCCCACCCTGCCAGCAAGCAGTCAATGCAGAGCCAGGTGGCAGAGGGCTGCAATTGTGACTCAACAGGAAAGAGCGGCAGATCAAGTCCGGCTGGCCTTTCTGCAGGAGCCTGGAACTCAGAAACTCCAGGCACGGGAACACAAAGCCCTCCTGAGCAGGGGGTGGGTCCCAGCGTGCTCCAGTCCCTCTTGCTCGGTTTGCAAGCGCACAAGGCAACAGGAGGTGGCTGCGCACATGCCAGCCACGGGAAAGCAGCCAGAGCAACTCCAACTGCGCTGCCCAAGCCGAAGGGCCAAAGCGAAATTAACACTTGCACCAAATCCAGAAAGCAAAAATAAAACAGAATGCAAATAAAATGAACATTTTAACAATCCAATTTCTGAGTTTTCATGATGAGAGGAAAAAATCCACGGAGGGACTGGGGTTACAAGTGTGAGTGCCAATGGCGATACGCAGCGATACGGGACACCGCTCTTGTGCCTTTAAGACGGGATTTTGGTACAGGACATGTGCTAAGGGATCAAATGACCCAAACACCTGTGTCAGCAGAGCAAGCCTTTTGCAGTGCCAAGACCTCAGAGCCATGGCTGCTGCATCCCACAGAACTTTCATCTGGGAGTGGAGAATTACTTAACAATGATAAGCAACTTGCACAGCTATGTTTAAGCAAGATATATGTGGATTAAATAGGTAAACAGCTTCAAGTCAAACCCCTTTCTGGGCTGTGACACCCAAGAGTCACGCAACGCAACAACACACAGGGAAGTCACACTCTGAATTCAGTCCCCCCTCCTGGGCCCAGGTGCACCCGCTGGGTCCTGCTTCTGCTTTCACGGCACCAGCCGCCACCTCTTACTACTGCGACCTGTAGAGACCCCTCCCCTTGGCGTTAAGTGCCCCCACTCTCAACCCAGTCACATAGCAGCATTTATCTGACTTGCAAAACCTTATTTCCTGCGCTGCATTGACAGGGTTCAGGTCAGTTTAAAGAGGTAAAGCAACAAGATAACTCATAAAAGAATTATCCCAGGAGTCAGAGAGACCATCCTATTCTCCACAGGTCCAAGCAGATGAGGCACACAGCTAGCAGTTTCATGAACAGCTTTGCACGACCCTGAAATCAAGAGTGCAGAAAGGCTTGGGAGGGGGGTGGCAGTCCGGCAGGCTTGGTGGGCACCTGGCTGGGACAGGCACTACAGGCAGAGGCTGCCACAGTGCGCCGAGCGCCCTCCTTCCAATGAAAAGAAGGCTGGGAAGGGGTGGCAGAGAGTGGGGGGTGAACAGTTAAAGCCCACCGAGCCACCCCCTCCACATATCTTTAATTGACTCCTTTAAAAAGCCGTTCACAAAATGTCTGATGACATTTGGTTTAGCTTGGCTGTAACACTACCCGGCTTAACTCTCTTGCCAGGACCCTATTTCAGGGAGCCTGAAAACCCCAAACCGCAGACCCCATGACTGATGATGCAACCTGGAACACTCAGCGGGGGGAGATACTCTAACCTGACTTCTTCTGTGTTTACTGGTCACCCAAATCAGAACCTCTTTAAGCAAGCATTTCTCTCTCACGCCGCAGAGACTGACCTGGTGATCTGCTTGTTACACCAGGGAGACCCGTATGCCCGGCCATCCTGAAGCGCTTTCAGCACCAGCAAGTGGCACTCCCGGTAGCGCAGGAGCAGGTCGGCATCAGCACCGCTGGTGGCGTCCAACAAGCCTTCCACAGCCTGCAGGAAGAGCAGTGCATGTACCCGAGTCCCTTCAAAAGAACGGACCCTGCTTTGTCCTCGGACTGGACTGCTGGAGTTCGGAACACAAGGCCGTGTGTTCTCAAGCAACACAGCACATGGCAGGATGAGAACACTCCTCACCAGCTGTCAGGGTGCCCAGAAATTGCACAGGTGAGGTAAAAGCCAATTCCCCACAACGAGCTGCTCAGCACTCGCAAATGTGGCCCTGTGTCCAGGTAACACGAGCCCAACCAGCTTACTTCCGTGCATGGAGAAAACCAGGAGCCCTCCCCCCCAACCCCGAGTCGCCAGGGAGCAAGAAGTGGCCAGGTGCAAACCTTCTGCAGGAGCCCAAGGGCTGCAATGGCATCACGCGAGTTCCGTGCCACGACGACGGCCTCCAAGAGGCTCCGCAGGGCTTGCGCCTGCGGGTTCATGGCCAGGGCGTGAGGGATGGACTGCAGGTGCTGCTCCAGTTCTGCCATGCATTTGTCGTAGATCTGTGCCACGTCGTCTGTGGCCCAGGCTTGCTGGTAGAAGAGAAAAGGAGGGTTCTGCGCTAAGGTGGTGCACAGATGGGGGAGGATCCTGAAGGTGAGAACGTAACATTCCATCACCAGCGCCAGCGTTAGGTAAATGGGCACTTCCTAATCCAAGTGGCACTTTGCCAAGAGCAAACCTACAGCCATTTCACTACAAACCGACAATTTAGGATGGATCAAAATACTAAATTTATCATGCCTTTTAAGAAATGGCTCTCTCAAGGACCCTAATCCAAATTTCTTCCTGTAAAGTGTTACGGCACCTTTTGACAAATGCTAGGAGTTCACGATGCTTTGAAGAGGTGCATAAGAGACCAACTGCAGATCTCCAGATGTCCTCCAATGTAATTATGTAAATGTCTGCAAATTATGTGGTCATTAAGCACACAGTTTCCATGAGCCCCAGAAGGGCTTCAACAATCTCAGCTGGATTTCTACCTTCATAGGCTGTGCCAGGATGCCTGTAGGTTGGGTTGAGTCGTTGGTTGGTAGGAAACCGGGGACGTTTCGTGCAAATTCTTCATACACAGCTAGCTGCTTTGGGTCCACGCCGCCAACCTTCACAGGACATTGAAAAAACGGCATTTTAACAATGCTGCCACGGTCATACACCTTTATGAACATTCAGGCAAGCAACAACATCTGGAAAATGCACAATGGTGAACTGATAGTCTGGTGAGGGAGGCCAGCCAAGGAAAGTTATTCCTGCCTGCAACTCAGAAAGTGCAGCATCAGGGAATGGAGGCTACTGGAGGGATTAATGGCACTTGCACAGGACTCTGTTTTGACACTGCCCTTCAGTAATTAACTGAAAATAAGTATAAGATTGGATAGAGATCTTGTTGGCTCATTCCCAGCAGTGATGAAACATAGTATCATAAAATAAATCTACACACTGAACATAATATAAAAGGGTATCTCAGGCGACCTCCGCAGTTTTGCTGAACAAGAAGCAGAGCAGCTTCTTAGTCAGTGGCTTATCTAGCATGATGGGTAGAAGACTCCCACAAGGTTTCTTGGGGGGGGGGGGGCACTGTGACCCTCCTCCTAACTGTGAAATCGGGTCCGATGGCAGACCTCTCTCACCTTTAATCGGATCTGCTCGGGCATCCGTTCCGCCTGGTACGTCAAGACGACGGGATCGCAGTACCTACGGCCCTCTTGCCTGGCGTGCTTTCTGAGCTCAAATTCCTGCCCAAACACAACCACATGAAGGTGAGGGAGGGGCTTGGTCATGACCCACAACGCGGCTTCACACGGCAGATCTGCCACATACTTACGGTGGCCAGCCTCTTATCCATCTCAGGGCCGGCTTTTTCTACGGCGGTCTTCTGAATGAAGCAGCACGCCAGCTCACAGTTGTCCTGGGCCAGCTGCGCCGCGGCTTGCTCCATCATATCCCGCTGCTGCGGCGAAGCTGCCTGTGAAAAAGGCAAGACATCAAACGAGGCAACGGCCAGACCTGTGAGCAAGCAGGAAGTAGACCACCCAGCCTGTTTTGCTCAGGATGCTGAAGAAGCGTGCAAGCAAGGAAAAGTGCGTCCGTCATGTTCACGCTTGCGGAGCAATCTGATGCCAATTCATTTGCTCAGAAGTGACTCCCACTGCGTCAAGGGCAAGCGCAACCTATCACAAGTGCCCCTCGTGGGGACTGCAATGGCGTCTCTTCTGGCATCAGCAACTGGCAAACAGCAGCCGCTGACTTTGCTCAACTACAGACAGGTGGTTCAGTGAGGTACTGGGCCACACCAGGAAATCCCTGTGCCTTTTGCAGGCAGTAGGATCCTTCTACAGCCATGCTGCCCACTTTTACTTGGAACCACAAGGCTCTAGTTAGGCTCACTTTCAAGACAGGAGTTCTCACACACATCTTGGGGGTGAGAGACTCACTCCACGGGCATCAGATGCAGCTGCCGTTCCAAGGCTCCCCAAGCTCCATGTTGCCTCTAAACTGGACATGCTTCTTCTCTCGTCAATGGTTTTTGCTGCATTAGCCGTTGAGTCAGAACATGCTCACAGAGAAGGGCGTAAGATGGGGCAGTGGGCGAGGGGAGATGTTGTGCAGCACAAAAACTGAATTCTGTTTTGGAGAAAAGCTCAGAGACTACCGTCTCGTGGTACATGGGTCCAAAGGCACAAAGGGCAGGACTAAAGGCAAAAAGTCTGAGGCCAAAAGTGAATATGAAGACACTTCCCATCAGCATCACTTAGACTGCACCACATGTTGCCTTTTAGAATGCGGAGAAATTGCACCACAACCAGGAAACTGTCAAACATCAGAACCGGGGTGGGGGGGGGCACAGCACAGTAAAGTGAGAATCCAGAGTGTCAAGCTGAGGCCCAAAGAAGGAACAGTCTGGCCCCTGGGCCTGAGGTTCTCCACCCCCAGTATAGCAGATGCACAGGTAAGCTTAACACTAAAATGTAAATAGGTTATCGACTCCAGTAAGAGCTCATAGTGCCACAACATTTATTATCCAGCTACTCTTAAATTTATTTATTTTTCGATTTATATCCTGCCTTTTTCCTACAAAGGGCTCAAGGCAGCTTACATCATTCTCCTCCTCCATCTTATCCCCACAACAACAACCCTATGAGGTAGGCTGGGCTGAGAGTCTGTGACTGGCCCAAAGCCACCCAGTGGGCTCCATGGCTGAGCAGGGACTCAAACCCGGATCCTCTGAGTCCCAGTCCCACGCTCTTAACCACCACACCACCCTGGCTCTCCAGTGCACTAAACAAGTGCACTAAGGTGGGCTTCCTAGGCAGTTTTGAACCATATGCCCTAAACAGACTAGGATTTGATTAAAAACATGCATTTAATTTAGTAAAACGAATAATTTTTCATGCTGCATGAATAGCATTGTTTATTTTTTTGGTACTTCAGCTGAAGCAAGTACCCTCAGCTGAAGTATCAGATTACCAAGGATTCCAGAAAAACACACTTCATGTGGTTTAAATGCCAATTCAGTTTATTTGGATTTTTTTGGAATATTTATACATCTATTACAACTGCAGTCACATGCTCTGCTCCTCTCTTCTGGTGTACAGGAGACTGACAGCGTCTCCCTTCATGACTGATTCATCAGCTCTACCCCCATTCTGCCAGTCACTCCCTCTCAGTCCAACCTACATCCCAGAATTGTTGTGAAAATAAAATGGAGGTATGTAAAATTCCTTAGGTCCCTCACAAGACAGAAGGGTGGGACATAAATGCAATAAAATCACCACACCCCCTCTCCATCCCATTTCACTAAGTAAAGTAAAGGCAGCTGGCTTTAAAACCTTCCAACTTTATTTCAGTCAGAGGAAAACTGAAGAACTGAAGCAGCTCTTTGGCAGCTTTCAAGACACCTGGTGCCCTTGCACGAAATCAGCCCTGACACTAATTTGGCCTGCTCTCTCATCATCCTTCCAAAACCACCAAAACTATTCACTGATGTTTCAGTGCACCAGCTGCTCGTCTGAATAGGACAATTAAGAAGCATCATGAAAACGCCAGAGTGCAATGCCACAAGGTAAAGCAAGGGCTAACTGTGCGGCAAAGAGTGCTTCTTCGAAACGGCACACGTACCCGCAACACGGTGGCAAAGCTGTTCTTCAGGTTGGTAGCGATGCTCACCAGCAAGGGCTCCCTACAGGTAATCATGGCCATACCAGCAGTCAGGTTCCGCATCATGTGGTGTGCCGCTACACGCATGCGGGACTCCTCCGAGTCTAGTGCAAAGTCCTTCCTCACTATCTGCTCGCAAGTGGTCATGGCGATTTTGATGGACCGGTCCACCACCGGGTGGACGAGCTCTTGGACTGCCCGGTCGATGGCTTGGCGCACACATTGCTTCAGCTGTGGATGGGCTTGGAACAGGGGAATCTAGAAGGACGGAGGAACGGTCAGTGTCGTTTTCCTCACGAACGTCTCTGCACCAAGACAAGATCCCTTCCCAGTTAGATGGGGAAGTCTTCTCAAAGACCGGTACTTACGGAAGGGTTCAGAGTGATGTGTGGAGCCAGCCCTCCCAGAGAGTAAACGTTGATGTCGTGGTAACTGTACTGCGGTTGCGGAGGAACGGTTGCGGTGCAGGTGGTGCTGGTAGCCGGTGTAGTGGAAGCAGCTGAGGCAAAGGACAAAAGCAACAGGAGGCACACTCAGCGCTGCAGAGTATGCTTCATAAGAAACATGCAGCTTTCACTGCCTGCCATACGGCATGGCAAAAGGTGCTTGCTACCGTCTGCAGGAGCTGCTGGTAAGTACTTCACCACCATCATCTTTGGCTGCTTGAGGGGCAAGCTGAGCAAGCAACCACAGCCAAAAGTCTTGGAGAATGAATATTAAAAAAGATGGACAACGGCACAACCTGCAGACTGCAATCTATGGAGCAGCCCCAAACCCCAGTAATTTGCAGCCAAAATTCTGGGCCACTGCCCCACAGCACTGAAAGCATTACATGTGGCTTGTACATCTGCTAGTTTCCCCCTTTTTAATGCTCCACTTCAAGAAAAGCTAAATTTGATCCATTAAGCACATCACAGAGGTAAAAGTGTACATGAGAGCAAGAGAATCTACCCCTGGCCTAAACAAAAGCCGAGCTGGACAATTGGCACTGGTGAAGGCGAACTGCCTAATTGCTATTCTCCTTTCCAAGCAACTGACTCTGGAGGAAGCCCTCAAGCAATGCTCAAGGGTAACCCTCGGCAGCTCGCATGGAACAGCACCCAAGCAGCCGAACACCCTTGTTCCACTCAGAGAGGGGCGGTCACCTTATCAAGGGACACTTGGAGATAACTGAACCTCCAACTTCATGGGTGGGGAAGTCCCTGCACAGTCTGAGACAAGGCCCAGCGCTGACCTCCAAGGACGAAAGCGGAAGAGGGCCCGTGCAGTTTTCCAGAGGAGACCCAGGTGGGAGCGATGCTCCCTCCCAGAGGCTCAGGACAACTGGAGCAGCCCAGAAAGGAGAGGCAGCCACTGAGCGGGTGGACACAGGATGTTGTTCTCCCATCTCCAAGGGCAAATGTGGATGTTCTGATCACCATTTGAGTAGAAAGATATCCTACAGCAGGGTGTAGCTTACAAGGCTTCTCCCGCATCTCCAGTAGGCTGTTGGTCCCAGATAAAATTATGGCACAGAATTGCCAAACGTGGCACTGGAGAGGGAGAAACTGTTCTTCCTGCAGTGCTCCACAGACAGATGCAAAAGCTGAGGCTGAGGTTTTGCAGATGTGCTCCCGGGAAACACCTGGGTCAAGAGATGGTGGCGTGGTTGTGGCCCTTGCTACCTGCACACTGCCAACCCAATGACGTGGAGGCACTAAGACTGGTGGACCACCCTACTCAGAGCAGGCCGAGGCGTTCTTGCCTTGGACAGATGGAAAGCCTCAACAGCAGATCGGGGTGATGGAGGACTGCTGGAGAAATCCACAATTGATTCAGATAAATTCAGAGGTCTATGGATCCTACCTGCAAATACACAGACTTGTGGGCTTTTCAAAAACTTTATGGGGGACGTGAACATTTCCAACAGGAATGACATTTCTCTCCATAAAATCCAATTTCATCAATAAGCAGAAGGCAAGCAAGCAAGCAAACCAGCCCCACAATCTGGGAAACAGACATCCATTCCTATTCTGATATTATGGGCAGTCCTCCTGAGTCATCTCTTTTACTTAGGTTATGATGGCTTAAGAACACAAGGTAAGTTTTTGTACCTTGTGAAAAACCGGATGTACTTTTGGTGTTAAGCAGCCTTGGAAGGGGGTGCATATGTGAAAAGGGGGAAAAGGCATTTTCCAACCCAGGTGGGACACGCAGCCCATTTTTCGGCGATGCAGGCCATAGGGACCTGTACTTACTGGTGGTTGTAATTGGTGGCAGCTCCTCTGGCTGTTTCACGTCTTTCTTTGGAGCAGAGAGCTGTTCGTCCAGATTTTTCAACCGATCCTTGTCTTTGAGGAGGTTCCCAGGTTTCAGTTCATTGATGTCAAGGGCAAGGTTCTTGCAGAGCACTTCTATCTCAAACTTCAGATTCAGCTGTGCAATATTGAACCATTCCAGGCTTAATAAGGTAATTATACTGACAGGTGAACTTCTACATGTCATGCCTATTTACCAATCTAAATCTTGTCCTGTTCTGAAAAGCAACTAGATGTGTCAAAGCAAATATTCTGAATGAGGAGGAGAATGTAAGAACATGTCCAAACATTTTAGTTCAACTGGCCACAGCTGATTACTTAGGAGTCAGTCTCAAGCAAAGACATCAGGACTATTCTATCTAAAGGAGGAGCTCAAAGAAATTAAGCGTAATTTACTTTTAAGTCATGTTCCTGGTGCAGCTCCGCTAGTACATTCATGATTGCCATGGTCCAAGGGTTTGGAGGCCTGAAGACCTGCAATGGAAATAAGACCAGAGGGACAATATTGCATGACTGGAACATCCTGAAATGTATGCTAACTTTTAGCTCAAACTGCTAATATTTGTGCAGGAGGATGAATAGGCAAGCGTGATCACTGGCGCAGCAGCTTCTTCCATTTTTGCCTTCATCCACCAACCGTTTCCTTCCCTCTGGAATCCTGCTCAGCAAAGAGCAACAGCACTGCTTTTCCACCCAATTCTCAGAACTGTCATGGGGTCAGAGCAGTGGGATCCTGGCACTGACCGCCAAGCCCCACAGGCCTTTCCAAGCCCAGCCACGGCCTCTGGCTGCAGAAGCGCTGCCTCAGCGCACACACATCCCCGACGGAGAGCAGTCAAGATGTGGCACCTGCCGAAGCAGGGGGCCGCACTGAGGGATAATCTACTGCATCCCTGTGCTAATGCTCAAGCGAGGCTTCTCTGCCTCCTATGCTGCGTGGGAAAAGAGGGCGCGCACACGCTCTTGAGAGCAGCCCTGCAGCGGCCAGGGACAAACACCCTGAACGCCTTTTCCTCAGCTCACTGTCATTTTTCAACAGATTTAGGAATCCCTCTGTCACCAGCTTCAGCATTACAACACTCTTAAGACAATGGTTTCAAGAACAGACTGTTAGGAAGTCACTGGTCAGAGGCTCCAGATGCTGTTAATATAAGGAATATTTCAGGTGTAGTATTTTAAAGCAGACTTGAATATGCAGTACACTCTGGATCAGACTTACCACACTCCTGACACTGGATTCCAAAACTTTGGCCACAAATGGCACAACATACAGCAGCTCCTGCTGGCCCTTGACGTAAGCCTCCAGCAGCAGCGATTTCACATCCAAGTCCTAAAATAAAAGCCATGAAAATGAAACTTGGTAACAATCAGTAACAGAAAGGAAGGGATACAACCACAAACCTTCTTTTGCCAGAAGATCTTATTCTGTTCTACACAATATGAAAGAGACCAGAATATTTGAATCTAGAAGGATACATGCAAGTTTCAGTTCCCAGCCTCATAGTTAGTCTTCCATTTCTCACCTCTGTCCCGACTCACCGTATGCAAGATGGGTTTATTTTTAGCCAGTGTGATCATGCCCAGCCAGTGACCCAGGTTCTTCAACAAGGAGCGGTCTGAGAAGTTGGCAGCAGCTTTATCTGACGTGAGTAGCACCTAAGCGGTTTTTTTTCCCCCAGAGACACAGAATTTGAGTTAAAACACAAAGGAACGGAAAATCATAAAGCCACAAACTGTATCCTGCTAGGCTTCAGAGGATACAGCCATGGAGCTTTCTGTTCTGAGAAAGATATACCTGAATACTAAATTTTTGGGAACTTGGAGAGTAAATGAATGCAATGTTACACTGCAGCCTATCTGCAGCAAAGAAAAAATCAAGGATGTTCAATCATAAATAATGAGTTGTTTTATCAATATATTTAGGGCCACATAGTTTTCCAAGTGCAGGATGCTGAGTGAGTGCTCCAGGGGTGAGTACAATCTGTGCTATTTTAAAAACTTTTTTTTGCAAGACCATAACCTTCAGCTCTCCATCCTGTCTTATAGCAACCATCAGCCAGCTTTACCAAGATGGCAGCATTCCTGAGACCTCTTGCTTTGTTCTGCTCTGCAGCATTGTCTATGGGACCCATGGCTCCCCACGGCTCCCCGCAAGGATACATATTGTCAGACAACATTCATCTCGCCTGACTTCCATTCTCTGTGTTGAATTGATAGAGTTCATCACGTACTCTGCATCTGCCTGCTTAGCATCGCTGTTCCTTTGCCCAAACTGCTTCATTGAAGTGAGAGCAAAGCTCCTCCTTACACATGCATGGTCCTCGAGAGCCCTGCACATACTTAAAATATACTTACCCACTGCCCAATTTTCACTTACCAGGCCACTGAAAGGCCTGCTTCAGAATGAATGCCCCATCACAGTTCAGCATTACAAAAATGAGCCTTAGACTCACCCGCAGGTCTCCCCCACCTGAACGGGGAGACTGAAGCCTCCACTAAGATTAGTTTAAAAACCCGGATTGTGAACCAAAAGGTTCATATTACCAGATCTGGTGGCATGCCCAGTGGGCACTGGGTGAGATCTTTATGGAGTTATCAAAGGTCATCCCCACAGGTATCACATGATCCTAAAAAAGTTTTAATAAAGCTATTTGATGATAATAATCAGGTGCTATGCCATACAGAATTATTGGTGGCAGGGGGATTAGTCCTAGCAAGAGACTGGAAGACCAATACCTCCGTTGTTGGATCCTGGGATCCAGTGGATCTGGCACACAGCAATCAAAGAAAAACTTGCACATCAGCTTAAATTACAGAAAGAGAGACCTTGCGGGTGCTACTTTGCAAGTAAGAGCAGTAAAAAGTGCAAACTGCCACCATCTTTTACACAAGCTCAGAGATCAAGAAATTTTACTCTAGATATTGTGAGTATTCTTTACTGAAATGATTATTTTTGCTTTTTTCTATGTATGTTATCTTTTTGTTTCCATACTGGGAAATAGAGGCTTTTAGAAGATAAAAGGGGGTTACTGTATTCAATTTTGACTATTTATATTTTGTTTAAATAGAGTGAAATAATAAAAAAGCATAAGACAGACTACCATTTTATCATGGCTTGTTTCAGTTTACTGTTGTTTCCCAAGTTTGGATGTCACAGGGAACGCTGGATAATTCTCAAGTTAACGCAAACATTTATCATCTCTTCTTCTCATGTGTGGAGGAAAAACATTTGGTGGGCATGTCGTGAGCGGAGCCGGCTGGAGCCGGGGGTCAGACTAGATGGCCCGGGAAGTCCCTTCTGACTAGCTGTTTCTCTGTTTCTAATACAAGGCCCTTGCAGGCTCATTCCCACAGACCCAGCATTAGGATCCATACTGAGCCAGAACAGAGAAAATTCAGGAAGAAAGCAGTAGAGATCAGTGGCATGTCTGGAGTAACTGAGTGGAGGGGAGGCTGGTTTTATGCCCAGAATTGCTTTATGTGGATTTTATGTGGATCACCAAAATTTTTGCACTGGACATCCAAATAAGCCAGGCATAAATCAATGCATCACCCATGTCAGTTATATCTGGATATTAGGTGGAAAAGTACCTAGGCAGCACCCACCTTAATATTTCTGTAGGTTTCGTTCAGAACCATTTTGTTGAATTCTGGATTCTTAAGTGTGTCAAGGAAATTGGAATAAAGGCTGTGGAAGTTTGGCTCAATGCTAACTCTCTTCATCACAAGGTACTGTGAAACCCAAGGCATGAATTCCTCTTTTACTGTTTCCTTCAGTTCCTCAACCTGGATCCATAAAGGCATATTATGGCAAAATAAAACAGAAGACTATGACACACGCTTATTCTCTAACTCAGGGATATAACACGCTATGAATATCACAAATTAACAACTGCATTTTTCCATGATTTGCAGCTCTAACGCTAACTGGCTTGTTGGCTTCTGTTAACAATTTGCCTTCTACCATCATTCATCAACTGAGTCATGGAATCAGACCCTGGCCCTCTCTCCCGCCACGCCATCAAAAATGATGCCTCATGTATACTAAACGTTCCGTCACAGGCCAGGAAAAGCATAATTCCATCAATCATACAAATTGCCGTTTTTTGCGTGCTTTGCTAAAGGCAAAAACTTGACTCAAGAAAAATGGGAAGAAAGACTTAAGTAAGTTGCTTCTGTACAGAAGACCACATTTTAAGTTTGCCTAAGAATACAGAATATGGAGACACAGTTAAGCAGTAAGGGTTAGGAAAAGGGATTTTTAGAGATCAACCCTAACCCTGATAAGATGTCCCAGTGAGATGATGGCAGCAGATAATATTCATACTCTTTCCCCTTTTGACAGCTGAAGCTCACCAGTTTCCCAATAGTAAACAGCTTTTGTCTGCCAGCTCAAGAACATTTAACATTCTAGAGATCTTTTGTAAAATTATTTTAAAATCAGCAGGACTTAAGGCCAAACAGTAGAATTAATGGGAAGGTGAGCTGCAGACACAACCAGATTTGATGCTCTTTTTGGAAGAAACAGAAAGCTGGCTGACAAAAGAACATCTTGAAGACAAACCGGCACTAAGACTTTCAGTCCTATCATTCCAGGAGAGTCACCTTAGGTGAGTTTTACAGGATGCCTCTGCAAGGAGGCAAACACTAAGCCAGTCACTCCAAGAGCCAGGCCGCACAGGACTTGCCTTCTGCGTCATGTTGGATTGTGACAGGTTGTTGAAGATGAATGCAATCTTCTCCTGAACATTTTCCGGAGGCTCCACAATTCTCTCTGTCTGATCTGTAGCCACTAGCAGAGTATCAATGTTGGTTGTATTAATAGAAGGCTGCAGAATAAGAACAACGATTTCAGGAATGAGCTGACTTAGTCAAAGACACAACAGACCAGAAGGCTTCCCCAGCCTGGTCCTCCAGGTGTGTGGGACAACAGTTCCAGAGTGCCCCAGCTAGCATGAGGGCTGCATCAAATGTATTGTTCATGCAACAAGGCAACACTGCCGCGTGAACAATACATATGATGCCAGTTCTACAACAGGGTTACAAAAGGAAGCAAGGAGACAAGCAAGGCTTGCACCCACAAAACCACAGGCATGGATTTAGCTTTGTTGTGACATCAGTCAGGAGTTGGTTGAGTTTAAGAATTTGCCAGTCTCCTGGAAACAGGTTTTTGCACAGATAGCAAACCATGGAGGAATGAAGAAAGATGACAAAATTAAGCATTTCAAGAGGGGGTTTGAGGTGCAAGCAGCAACCAAGCCAGCAGGACAAGGACGACTGCGCATACAACAGTGCATGGGAGCAAGATCTTTGGGTAGGTTTGTGGAAAGGCAGGAGCCCAAAGGGTGGCCTGTGCCAAAGACTCGAAGGGGGTTGTCACTAAAGGTGCCAAGTGGTGGGGAGAAACAAGCAAGCTCCCGGCAGTTCCTTGAGGTGGAGTAGGGGAAAAAACATGGCTCATGAAGTTTCTGTCTTTAGTGATAGGGTGAGGGAAGCTAAGTTCAAGATGACAGAGCCAGGTACTCCCACCCCCAGCCAGGAAGCAGAATGCTTTCCCTCCTCCCCATTAAATCCAACCAAGCTATACACACTGAGGTGTAATACAGCAAACATTTATACAATTAAATTCAGTATCGACCCTGGAAAGCCCTGAAGAAACCAAAGCTAAAAGGAACATGGAAGGGTAATGCCCCTGAAGTTGGTAATTTGAGGGAATATTCACTCTAAAGAGCCCTCTGAGAGACATGAGAGGACAGGCTGTTCTCCCACAACCAAGAGGAAAGGTCCGAGGATGAGGGGCCTGGGCCACAGTACATGGGCTGCCCTTTGCCTAAGCACCCATGCTGGGTGTTGTCTGAACCCCATGGCTGTGTAGGTCCAAAGAAAATCAACATTCAACCATAACAGGGCTCAGAAAACACAAGCTGTGGCTGAACTTTTCTGACTTTATACAGCCAAGGCCTTTGGGTTAGAGCCTGCTGACATTTCATCCTGCCAATTCCACTTCACTGGCTCACATACTTACCGGTACATCCTTTTTGAAGCTGACCCGACCCACTGGAGTGATTGTAGTCTTGGCCACAGTGGTCGTGGTAGTGGAGGTGGTGGCTATAGTGCTAACTTGACCAGCAAGAGGGGCTTTTGACGGAACCTGTGCCTGGGCCTGTGCCTGGGCAAGTGCAATACTTCCAGGGGTGGTGATAGACCCTTGCATCTTCACAGGAGGGTCTCTGGATTGCTGTCCGTATTCAATGTACTACAATAGACAAGAAGTAGCACATTCCTAAACCTCAAATCTATTAAGCAAGCTTTAGAATCACCTCAACATTAGGACCGATCCCTCACACTCCCTGATCTTGGAAGTGCTTAGGCAGCTCCAACCACCACAAACAAACTCGGCAATGCTCCAGCTATGCTTAAGTCACAGATATGGGTATTCGAGGTAACCTAGAAGCAAGCAGCCCTTGCTTTGCTAATATAATCAATAGCGCTGGGCTTGGATTAGCAAAACCAACATTAGTTGAAGACAGGCACTTCCAAGCCCCCACCCCATTCCCTTCTTACCACCCTAACAAAAGCTAGAATAAGATGTGATCTGCCACCAAAAGGGCACTTTCCTTGCCCAATTCAGTGAGGTTAAAAATTGAGAAAGAAGTAAAATATTGCAGCAGTGGAACCATTCCTTGTTTTGGATAAGGACAAGAGAGTTTCTGCAGTCACAAAGACATTATTTCCATGGGTAACACATTATGAATATAACAAATAGACTTCTCTGAAGCAAAGGTGTAATAATTGCAGCTTGCAAAATATTCAGTGCTGTTTCTTAACTTAAGGATTAACTTGCAGATAACTCCTTTAAGTTGGGGCAAAGAATTACGGCTTCCATGGCAGGAGAAGCAACAGAAAAATGGCTGGCAGAAAGTTTTAACCTTCTACCTGCCCCACCCAAGTGCACAGGGGTTGCTCACTCTCAACTAATGTGCCCTTTACCAAATGAATGCTGAAACACTAGATTAATGAAAAGCTGAAGCTTTTTACTGTGCAAATAAACCTAACACCTTTCGATTTCTTCCCTCCCCTTGCTGATTCACATTCCTTTAAAACTTAGCACTCACCTCCTGCAGGTGATGAGGGAACTGTATAAAGTGACTAATAGAAGCCAAGTGCTGACAATACTGAGGATAGTCCTTCAATCTGTCAATAGTAAAACTATCTGTTAGTAGGAGAAAATAGTTCAGATCAAAACCAGCAAAATGCAGTAATGGATAAATCTCTGACTAAACCAGTGAGAGTTGCTTTGGGGATTTCCTGGTTGTGACAGACACACACTCGCAAAAATGTGGAAATAACTGACATATCCTGTTGTTCTGACTTGAAGCCACTGAAAAATGAGCCGTGCGGCTACGCTTCAAAGAGGCAGATTTGCAATGACGACCTCAAATTAACTTCCTGGGTTCTGACAACCCAGACCCTCTCCAACCGTTGGCACTGTGCCCACAGGTGCCTCTTTCTTGAATGAAAGCCACCCTAAGTTACAGTACATCACAGAAGTGAGTACACCCCTCGCATCTTGTAAATATTTTATTATATCTTTTCATGTGACAACCCTGAAGAAATGACACTTTGCTACAATGTTAAGTAGTGAGTATACAGCTTGTATAACAGTGTAAATTTGCTGTCCCCTCAAAATAACACACAGCCATCAATGTCTAAGCCGCTGGCAACAAATGTGAGTACACCCCTAAGTGAAGCTATCCAAATTGGGCCCAAAGTGTCAATATTTTGTGTGGCCACCATTATTCTCCAGCACTGCCTAAACCCTCTTGGGCATGGAGTTCACCAGAGCTTCACAGGTTGCCGCTGGAGTCCTCTTCCATTCCTCCATGACGACATCACGGAGCTGGTGGATGTTAGAGACCTTGCGCTCCTCCACCTTCCGTCTCAGGATGCCCCACCGATGCTCGATAGGGTTTAGTTCTGGAGACATGCTTGGCCAGTCCATCACCTTTACCCTCAGCTTCTTCGGCAAGGCAGTGGTCGTCTTGGAGGTGTGTTTGGGGTCATGATCATGCTGGAATACTGCCCTGCGGCCCAGTCTCCGAAGGGAGGGGATCGCGCTCTGCTTCAGTATGTCACAGTACATGCTGGCATTCATGGTTCCCTCAATGAACTGTAGCTCCCCAGTGCCGGCAGCACTCATGCAGCCCCAGACCATGACACTCCCACCACCATGCTTGGCTGTAGGCAAGACACACTTGTCTTTGTGCTCCTCGCCTGGTTGTCGCCACACACGCTTGACACCATCTGAACCAAGTTTATCTTGGTCTCATCAGACCACAGGACATGGTTCCAGTAATCCATCTCCTTAGTCTGCTTGTCTTCAGCAAGCTGTTTGCGGGCTTTCTTGTGCATCATCTTTAGACGAGGCTTCCTTCTGGGACAACAGCCCTGCAGACCAATTTGATGCAGTGTGCGGCGTACGGTCTGAGCACTGACAGGCTGACCCTCCACCCCTGCAACCCCTGCAGCAATGCTGGCAGCACTCATACGTCTATTTCCCAAAGGCAGCCTCTGGATATGACGCTGAGCACGTGCACTCCACTTCTTTGGTCGACCATGGCGAGGCCTGTTCTGAGTGGAACCTGTCCTGTTAAGCCGCTGTATGGTCTTGGCCACCGTGCTGCAGCTCAGTTTCAGGGTCTTGGCAATCTTCTTATAGCCTAGGCCATCTTTATGTAGAGCAACAATTCTTTTTTTCAGATCCTCAGAGAGTTCTTTGCCACGAGGTGCCATGTTGAACTTCCAGTGACCAGTACGAGAGAGCGAGAGCGATAACACCAAATTTAACACACCTGCTCCCCATTCACACCTGAGACCTTGTAACACTAATGAGTCACATGACACCAGGGAGGGAAAATGACTAATAATGCCCAATTTGGACAGTTTCACTTAGGGGTGTACTCACTTTTGTTGCCAGTGGTTTAGACATGTATGGCTGTGTGTCGAGTTATTTTGAGGGGACAGCAAATTTACACTGTTATACAGGCTGTATACGCACTACTTTACATTGTAGCAAAGTGTCATTTCTTCAGGGTTGTCACATAAAAAGATATAATAAAATATTTACAAAACGTGAGGGGTGTACTCACTTCTGTGATATACCGTATGTGCGAGGCTATCCAAGAGTGCTCACTGGTCTAGGCCAGGATACACACTTTACTAGACTATATAAGTTAATTTTTTGGAAAAAAATACCGCCCCCATGGTTGCCAGAAGAACGGCTGAGAGCACCGGGGCATTTTGCCAGATGAGGCAGACCCAGTGCCTAGTGTGTCCCCGCAACACATGTGGGCTTGCAACGGCCTGCCTGGCCCATGGGGCATTCTGCTGGCTCTCCCTCTCAGCACGGGATTCCAAACCCCTAATCTAATTCTTTACAGGAACCATTCTTCAATTTAAGGACAACATACACAAAGAACTCAATTTGAACAATTTAGTAATAAAACATTTATATCCTAAGTTTTTTCATGGATAGCACACTGCTTTGCATTACAAGCTTTAATAAATGAACAAACGTAAGGGACTCTGGTCCTGCTTTTTAACGGTGTGAATATAAACTTGGCTTTAGAGCCCTGTGTTTGTTAAAACACTGCCCAAGCTTACTACTTGTTCCTATTTGCAAAGCATCGCAAATATGCAACCCAAAACCTTACATATGCTTGTTTGGAAGTCAGTCTTGCTAAATGCAGTGGGGTTTCTTGCCATGTGATAGTGCACAGGACTGTAGGATTAGTCACATTAGCACATTTTATCAGCGAGGCACTTACAGGACTGTAATAACTGTTTGGGCAAAAACCTCCACCGAATGTCAAATATATTTAGGTCCTTAGCACTGAAAGGGAAAAGGGTGCAGTACAATATGGAAGAGAAACCGTGCAGCCTTCTAGCAGGAGTATGAAAGCTGAGCTTGCCAAAACAATGTTGCAAGAGTATGTGTGAAAATTCTGAGAGTCTCCGCTTTCACTGAAAATGGGGAGCAAGTAATGGTTTCAGGAGGCAAAATTTGTCCACATGGGTATGCGGCCACATATGCTGGAATAAGCCCAGTGCCCAGATCATTATTTTATTTATCCATGTATTGAGTGTATTTTATTTACTTCCTTCCTGGGCACACAAGGCGGCTCACATAATTCCCTTCCTCCTCTCCATCTTATCCGCACTACAGCAGGGGTTTGCGGCCACCCAGAGAGCAATGTGGCAAGGAGGGACCAAACGAAGTTGCGAGAGAGCAGGAAATATGTGGAAGCAGGGGGTGGGTGGAAATCACGGAAAGCCGCAGGAGCGGCAGGGGCAGCAGGAGAGTGCGCACAGGGGGAGCCTGAAGGACTGGAGGCGACGGGAGGCTGGAAAGTGGACTACTGAGAGGGTATTGCAAGGGCCACTTTGGCCAGGAGAGACATGGACTTGAGGCTGATCTGTACTGTGAGCTGAAAGAGAAGCTGCTTGCCAGCCTTTTGTCATGATGGCTTCTGGTCAGAGTGCCCTCCTAAGTTGTTTCTAGGGGGCTCTGAAAGCGGTCTTGCAAAAATGGATTAAAGTTAAGTTTTCCATCAGAGTGCATGTTGGGAAAGTCTTCTTGCATATTCCAGAAGCGTCAGGGACAATCCAGTTAAAGTTATTTTAGTGTGCTTGTGGGGAGGGACCATTCCTCCCAATCGTATCAGAAAGACATGAAGAGGATAAGCTTTAGCTGAATTATTTCTTTGTGAATTTGCAGCTAGTTACCATAGCGCAGTGGTGGCGAACCTATGGCACACAGAGCCCTCTGTCGGCACGTGCGCCAAGTCACGCCAGCATCTGAGCATCAGATAACAGCGCACACAGGGGCCATTCACATGCTCAGAAAGCAGGAGCAGCGCCCGGCAATGACGTCATGAGCCGCGACACGTGAGTTGTGACTCATCCGAGCTTTCACATGGACAGTCAGTGCGCTGCCAATATATATTTGCTTGGACTGGCTGTGAGTTGTTTTTTCTAAACTAAAACCGCAGTTTTCAGGTTTTATTGTAGTGTTGGCACTTGGCGATAAATAAGTGGGTTTTGGGTTGCAGTTTGGGCACTCGGTCTCTAAAAGGTTCGCCATCACTGCCATAGGGGAACCACTTATCCAGTACCACGATCTGCAAGATGTTCATTTCAAGGACATCCTTAAGGTATGCACCAACTTATACTTAGGCACTTAATTCAAGTATCATTTGAAGGCAATATCTGCCCCTATTCAGATTGCCTGCAATTGATTCTTGATTCTCTTATTCTCAAATGTGCTTTTCCCTTATTAACCAGAACTGTCTATTATAGTTTATGCTTCTAGTGAGGGATACATTCCGGAATGGCAGCATACCATTAAATTTGTAGGACAAAGCTAAATATTTTGCACACAACTAAAAATGTCCCCATGCTTTTTTTGGAAATATCGTAAAAAGATACTCACCTATTTTTAAATCTATCTAGTGCAGCAATACCAAAATAGTACATTTTGGATGGAAAAGGCTTTCGTAAGGCTTCAAGAACATAGCGCAAGGCCAGGCCCAGCGCCATGTATGTAACCAGTCCTTTCTCTATTATCCCACCAAAGAGGCAGGCTGTTATGTGCAGCTCTTTATCAGGGTACTGGGGAAAAAAACGATATTCCTCAAACAAGTTCCTCAGCATACAGTTAAATACTTCGCGTTCCCGTTTAATGTTGGAGTCTTTAAACCTCTGCAGCATTTCTAACACCTGCAAAGAAAAAGTTACACAATGACTCGTTCATGCTCAAGCCCTTCCACAGAGGGGTGTGGAGCACCCACATCGGATTTGCTGGGAAACTCAAGGCAAGGTTTTGCAGGCAGAAATCTCAAATCTCTTCCTTACTTCACAAATATCACGTCCTAATGCAATGCCTAGCTATATATTTAAGTATATTACAGAATATTTGTTACACATGGGAATAACACTTTGTATAACTGCATTCACTTAAGTTCTATTCGTTGAGCCCAAGTTTACAATCATTTATATCATGATCATTTTAAAAATACTTTTTGACTTATAAAATACTGAACTGTTTCCTTGTGCTCTATGTTAGGTGCACCAAAAACACATTTTTAAAGGGACTGTGATTTGACCCAATTTATATTGCTGAGTTTCTCTAACATTTAAAGCTAAGGTAACTTTATACTGCTGATGTTACCCTAACATCAAATTGGTTGGTTTAGGAGATCCCCAAGGGAAGAAACATTTGCCCAAGTAACAACAGAGTCACACTGAGAGGAAAGAAAAAAAGAACTGTGCTTTGCAAATAATTTTGATGCAGCACGCATTTTTAAAAATTAGGTATCAATGCTGTTTTAGATGCTACAACCTCTTAAACCTTGGCACTTAATGCTAAACAGTTACTGAAGTGAACAAGCAATGAGATTTACTGAGCAAATTGATCTTCAGAATAGAGTTTTCACTGAAGACAAACATTCTATTCCACTTGCACAAAAGCGGTCTAGACTTGTGGGAGACACACATTTTGGAATGTCATAATTTAAATTCCCCTTAAAACTAAAACCAAAGGCAATATTGTAAAAACACCTCCTCTCCCAAACATTACATAGGACAGTGAAGAAAACCAATGAAAATTGAGATTAGCTAGCTGAAAGCGAGACAGATGCAATGGCTGCTCAAAAGCTCACCTCATCAACAGACATAGTTGGATGTGGTGGGTGATTATAAATACGCTGAAAATAGCTGTTGGCTTCATCATCAATCTCTTTGCTAAAGTGCTGATTAGCCTCTGGCCATACCTGAGATAAGTCAGCTGTTGAAAAAAGGTAAATGCATATTAAATACGACCCCAACATGCACAACAAAGGGCATTATATTTCAAAAATATAGAAGGCACAAGACCATGTTTTAACAGGTCACATGAAGCAACCTACATCTGGATCAACATTTCGTCCATACAAGCAGCTCCCAGACAGACAGAAGGCTCAACTGGACTGCAACTCCAGCTCTCTGAGCAGCCACTGCACCCTAGAGTGTCCGTGGCTTAGCTCGAGAATGTTCTGCATGCCCCTGCCTGCAGCCGCACGGCCCCATGCAGGACTGCACAGGGACCAAGAGAAGCAGGCGCTGCAGCTGTCGCTTTAGTTAAGGGAACACGGTGGCAGGTCACCCACAGGGACTGCGACAGCCCGGGAAGCAAATCGCAATGGCCGCCTGATTAGAGGCAGATTATTCATCCCTGAAGTGTACGGTGAAGGATGCAGCAACCACACCCCATGCGCAGCATGAACACACACATCTTCAGGCTACTCTTGGGATCCGAGGTCAAGCTGTTCCGTCCACTGAAATTCTGAGCAGTTTACAAGTAGCTATGCCTGTCAAAGCCAACAGCCTTGCAAGCGGAGGTATCTAGGTTGCCCCCCTGTGCATGGCTGGCTGGGGAAAGCTGAGTGCACTAGAACTTTTTCAGTAGCTGAATATGAGAGAAACAACTAGCAGGATCCCCACAAGCCAACTTGGAAGGAAAGTTCTTATTTACTGCACACCACACTCATTCCACACGATCAGACAACATCACCACTTACAAGGTTTCATCTTACTCTGCTGGAACGCAGGCTGGCTCAGTCCTGATGTACTCAGTTTTCTTGGTACAAAGGAGTCGTTATTCACCGCAGGGAGGCCAAGGGCCCCAGTCCCAATACCCAAGCTACCTGTTGTAAGACCACCTACTGAAAAACAGAAATACTTGTTTTGTTACAACTGCTTTGCTCCCCAGCCCACAGGATCAATGAGATGAGCAAGCCAGAAATGTAGTACCCAAGTTACACTGCACAGTGAATGGCTCAGCCACCCTGGATGCTTGGAATGCGGCTGAGGTCTGAAGCCAAACTTCCAGGCCCTACAAATGCCTCCCAAATAAAGCAGAGCATGTCCTGCTTCTTTCAGTCAGGGTTAGGGTTTCAGTTTGCATTTGCAGAATGGGGCTTTGCTTTGGCCTCTTTTCTGGCACAGCCCACCAAAACACTGCTTCAGGAATTTGGGAGACTCTTAAGGCTAGAGAGGGATAGAATACAAGGGCCTGAAGATGCACAGGGAAAGCTGACGCATCACGTTAAGAGAAGCAACTTCCAACCCAAGCCACAGAATTTAATGTCCTACAAAGTACTGAGCTTTCCTTCTGCAAGAACTGGTCCTTTCATACAACTGTACCTGGAAGCTGTGAAGAGAGGCCACCAATCCCACTGAATGGTGTGTTCTGGTTTTGGGTGGAAAGTGGTGGAAACGCTTTTGCTGGTGACTGAGGAGTACTAAACGCTGAACTCAAGTTTGGAGGAAAGCCTGGCATACTCTGGGTGTGTGGAGCCGCTGAACCGCCTAAACTGAGGGATGCCATTCCAGCAGCAAGAGGATCGATCTGAGGATAAAAATTCGTAGTAACAACAGTGACAATCACCTTTGCTACCAGATGGGAGACCATGGTTTCAAACAGTCCTAGAAAACCAGCAAACCACACAGCAATCACAACAGCAATACCCTGCTCCCTGCTTTTCTGCATCTAAGCCATCAGAAACTTTCCCACCTTCCTCCCTGAGGGACGGTTCAACCCAAACCAGATGTTTTCCAGCTCCTGCAGGCTTTTCCCTGCGTTCAGCCGAAACGCTGTGCCTGGAACCAGCACTTGGGCTCCCTTTCCTTGGTCAAGTGGAGCCTGACTCCGCTTGTCCCAGAAAGTTCCCCAGATGCCTGCTAAACCTGAGCACCACCTCCCTGCAGCAACCCTCAGCCATGCTCTGAGACGCCTCCGCTGCACCTCTCCGGCAGCCCTGCAAGTTAAACCAGCACCATTTGGGAAAGGGCCACCACAGGAGCCATGGTTTTCAACCTCCTCCCGAGCAACCTACATTTGGCTTCCAGGAGCCCACGGCACTCCATTTAAACATGTTGCTGGTCTCAACGTGGACCATGACTAATGAGCCCACTCCAGCACGACAAGGTTCCTTGACAGTGTGCGTCATCTGCAACCTACACACCAAGCAGGCGTTTACCGTGTGGTCTACATGCCTATCACACACCCAGCTGCGTGTCTGCCTGATGATTGATTTCCCAGTGCCCCAAGTCCCCGCCCTCAGGTGGAGAGAATGTCTGAACAGGTCTCTTCCCAGCAAGCATTTCCCTTCCCCAAGAGTCCCATTCTCTGAGACAACAGAGGAGCTGCTGCTCATGGACCAGGGACTCTGCTGTTAGGTCTCATCCACCAACCTCTTAGCCTCTCCGCATGAGTAGCCTTGCCTCTGAGGTAACAAACCGGCTCCCTGAGAGCCATAAGCTCCTTATGCTCAGCACAGCTCCACAGCTCCTGCCCAGCTGGCGGACACTTGCACACGTGGCACTCTGTGCAAGACACTGGATCGTCCGCAGACCTAGGCCAGCTTTCTACTTTCATCAACCCTTTGTGTTAAATTGCTTTTATTGGATTTGTTCGCCTGGGAAAAAAGTTTACTTAGAGGCAGGAAATGTAGCTGTTTGCTTAGTTATTAATTTGTAATTTTTTACTATGAGAAAAAAGGAAAGAGTTGGTGGTCCTGGCCCCTCACCCTGTTGCTAAATTTGCATTAACTCACTAGTGTGCTTCCACTGGGTCTCCTCTTGCTCAGGGCATCCCCTTGCTGATTCCTAACAACTGGCACAAAAGGCACCCTGTTTCTGATAGTGGAGGCAGAATGTAGCCATCTGGCCTAGCAGCCACTGATTGCTCTATACTCCACTAAAGGGGCCAATCATGTTCAATGCTGCCCCAGTTGCTAGCACACCTCTGCATTTTTAGTGATGAATTCTACAGTGTGAAGCCTTGCCCTGTACACTTCCTCTGCACAATACATTACTCTATACTGCCTTGATCATGTCCCCCCTTTTTCTTTGCTAAACAGACAGAAATGTTGTCACCCTTCCTTGGTGTCACCCTCACTTTCTTTGCTCTACAGCCTTCCAAACACCTACATAATACATCTGCCTTCAAAACTGCGCAAGGCAAAGAACTTCTGTGTTATTTAAAATTAAGTACAAGCTATGGCCCCTGGGTTTAGGTTACACAGCCCTAGTTTTGTCTGTAGCTTAAACAACCACTTAGTTTTACATTCTAACTTTTGCACAAGAATTTGACTTATTCCAAAAAGGTACAGAATAAAGCTCAGAATCCTCAGAGGAAAATTACTCATTGGTCCAGCCTGAAGACAGCCTTCCTGAAAAATCTGTCAAATGTTCTTGCTACTTCCAGCAAAGTTCTTTTCACTCATTAACCACTGCAACACATCCTGTGGGGCTGCCTCTAAAAACAGACTAGGCACTTTGGCTGCCCCAGAATGCTCTGGCCATGCTCCTCACTGGGGCCATTTGCAGGGAGCCTGGAGCTCAGCTGGTGCAACAGCTTCACTGCATACTGGCCTGTTTCTGGAAGAATCCAAAGTGCCAGTTAGGAGCTATGAAGCCCCTTACGGCATGGGAGCAAGCAACCTGAAAGACGGCCTTCTCCCACACGGGCCTGCCCATTCTTAAGATGAGAGCCAGTGAAGTGCAGTGGTTAAGTGGGTGGGTATGGGACTCGGGCAAGCTGGGTTCTAGTCCCTGCTGGACCATGGAGGCAACGGGGTGACTTTGGGCCAGTCACAGACTCTCAGCCCAGCCTACCTCACAGGGTTGCTGCTGCTGTGGGGATAAGATTGAGAGCAGCAGGAGAAGAATGATGTAAGCGGCCCTGTGCTCTTTAAAAAAGAAAATGCTATTTTTTATTTGATTTATTTGAACATAAATCAAATAATTAAAAATAAAGGTCTTCAAGAGAGACCTTTCCTTTGAGACCACCAGTTTTAGAAGCATGTTTGGTGGTGACCAAAGAGAGATCCTTTTTGGAGGTTTGTTCTTCACTTTCCCTGCTCCTGGAAGGCAAAGACCACCCTATTCAAGAAGGCCTTTAAGTGGGACTGCTGGGTTGGGAGTTGTTTAATTATGTAATTGTTGCTTTTATTTTATTTACCACATTGCTTTATTGTTTAAATCTTCATTTAATTGCCTTGGGACACAATGACTAGAATGGAGGGCTACAAATACATAGATCTTTAAACAACGGAAAGGTGCCAAATTAAGTCTTTAACGAGTACAGGCTATTATGAAGTCCCACTGCCAGAAGCACATTTTCCTCTCTCTTAAAGCTGGAAAAGGTAGCGGGAGAGAGCAAGCGAGATGTGCCTTGGTTTTAAAAGAGCGGTTCAGTGGTGAGCTGAAGCACTCCAGTTACGACAAGCTCTTGCAATCTAGCACTGCTGCTTGGCCTGAGAAGCTACAGAAGACAAGCCAGGTTCAAAGGCAGTGCCTGAGTCTAACAGTTATCAAGTAAAGGCAACATGACCACGATATTCTGAATTAACTTTGATTACGGACAAGGCAAATCTGTTTAGAGGGACAGTGAAGCACCTTCCTTCGTGCTGCTGCCAATGGCTTGTTTGAGCATCCACATACCTGTACAGGAGAGATGGCATCTAGACTACTAGCGCTGGGGGGACGTCCTTTGGGCATCACTCCAGGTGGGGGCTGTCTAGATTTGTTCATGACGTTGCTGCAGTTGGCTACCATGGTGAGGATAGTTTCCGACAGCTCTTGCGAGACACTCCTGTTGGGAAAAAATGGTGCTCGGCACTGCCATGTAGTTTCTGAACCAGGATCAGTCTCCTCGCTTGACCAGAGGAGCAGCTGGCAAGTCTGCCAGCACAGAACTGAAGAAGCAGGAAAACCCTCAGCTGGCTCACTTGAACTTATCAGCCCAAGATATGTGGGTGCCATGTGTAAATGAAGGGTAAAACTGTCAACCAACTTAAGCGAAACCATAAACTGCAGAGCCAACAGGGCCCTCCATATATGCCAAGGAGTACAGCTTAATCAATAAACAATAAAAATGTGCAGCTGTTCTGGAAACTGTAATGCTCAGCTGAGTGGAGGACTTGCAGGGACCTGCAGTGATGGCCATAAAGCTCTCCCCTTCCCTGTTCCCTTAAAAACATTTTAGGAAAAAGCCTTGGAACATGTTACGACAATCTCCCCTTTCTCTCTTTTTCTAGCCTCTAGGCCTTGCTCTCTCTCCCTCCATCACCACCACTTCTAGTTGTTTTTACTACCAGGTCTCCGTGGGGGCAATTAGGTAGCTAGCCAGGAGACCCATTTTGTGCTGATGTCCACAGCTGTTTCAAATGTGCCCATGGGTCATAATGCCTGGGAACTCTATTCCAGTTTTTCTATGCAAGTTTTATGACATGGTTTTTAGAAGTAATTTGGGGGAGTAAAGGCTGGGCAGCAATACATAAATAGCCTGCCTTAAATATTTTATTTTCTGAAATGAATTTGACAAAGAAAATGGAGAAGGAAGTTACCCAATGCTCAACTTGAATGAAGTTGCCATGACAGTTGGAGCCACACAATAAAAGATGTATTTTCTGCAAAGATTCAGCCACCCCTAGCGATCTATTTATAATATTTATTTAATGTTATGCTTTCAGAAAGAGCATCCACTGCATGACTGAAATAAATATGCACTTTTCATGTTCAAACTTATGCCCTAGCTATCCTGTGAAGTATCTAATTGAGCTACAAGTAGTACAGGGGAAATAACTGCAAAAGACCAAGGTTCCTCCAAAGTGGATGGGGGTTTGTTGACTGAGATTGCGCATTAAAAGCAAGAAAACACAAGAAGAACAAATGAAATGACCCAGATAATGCCTCCAGCTATATAAAATGACTTTCTCACACTTTCTATAGATGAGGGCAAACATTTCACAGATTTATGACAAAAATGTTTACAAGGATGCCACTTACTCAAATTCAAGTTGCTAAAGTCAAAAAAGAAAAAAAAGTGAAAAAAACCCCCTACAATTAGAGAGGCTGAGTCTGTCAATACTTCAATGGGCAACTTGCTGAAGCACGTATGGGTCCTTTTTGGGCCATGAAAAAAGCCCAGGCCTTCAGGAGCCCCAAGTGCCACCCCCAGCTGTCTCCAAGGCATCCTCTGCAGTGGGCTGCCCCTTCCGGAGCTCACCCACGCCGGGCCACCTTGCCTTTCCACCAACGACAAATGAAGCGGACTGTGTTCCGAAATCCATGCAACTGTCCGTTACGCTTTCCAGAAATAAAATTCCTTCACCCCCATTCAGTGCCATTTGCAGTTTCCACATATCGTGCTATTCTTGATTATTCGCAACCAGGTTGCAAGCACGTTTCAGGGTTTGACAACCTATGAACTCATACTTCCATGCTGTGATGTCTGACTGCCATGACAGGCAATGCGAGTACCACCCCCATTCATTGAAAGGAGGTACAAAGTGACTTCCACGTTGTGTTCCCAGGGGTGGCAGACTTTGCAGCAGGTGATTTTCTTCAAACAGTTCCTGCCTCAGCTCATCCACATTGCTCAAGTGTGATCAAGAGCGAAAATGGCAAAATTGCAAGCTGAACTCCACGAGGGAAGTTAGTAAGCAATGCCTCTCTGCAAAAGCAGAGAGGAGGAGAATCAAAAATCAAGCCTAAAAGGAAGAAAGAGGGGTATGTGTATCCAAGTGAAAAAGCGGAGGTGGAAAGGAATAACACTAAGGGTGAAGCTGGAGAAAAGATGAGAACCACCGAGCAAGAGTGCGCTGCGCGTCCAGGTAGAAAGGAAAGGAAGGAGGGGAGGGGAGAGCTGGGGGTGGAACCAGAACCAGGCTAATGCAAGGTGCGTCCAGCAGCGAGCCTGCCATGGAAGACGTGGCTTACCCAGCACAAGCCTGAAGGCAAGCCAGCATCGTTGCGAGTGTCTCTGGAGGAAGCTGGGCACTTTTCGGCTGGTCTTTCTCTGGGGCAAGGCCACCCAAGATAGAGGGACATCTTCTCTTTAAGAATGTCATACAGGCTTGGATGAAGGGCTCCTAGAGAAGGGAAAAAACAACCTTAGTGGGGCTGCACACACTTGCTAATATTTCAAGCATGTTAACAGGATCAAAAGGTGAAAAGCACTGGGCAACCGGGTTCAACATTTTCTCTCAGAAGTGTATGCTCCCAGGATTTTTAAAATCAACTTCAGGGCCATGATACTTTGAAGAACCACAGTTCTCCCAAAAAGTTGCAGAATGATAAAGAAAATCCTACTTTACCCCATGCTCCCGAATTTTGTCTGTGAGCCATTTGTCTAGTTTGAGGTATTCCCGTCGAGAGGCAAGTGCAGCAAGGTCAATAACGAAGGCAAACGGAGTACCATTTAGCAGCATTGACAAGGCCTGAAGAAAAGAGTCAGAGCACTGCTAGTTGAAGTATCTGGTGACATTCCTCTTACCGAAGCACACCCCACTCCCCAACATAATCTGCATCAGCCGCTTCCTAACTTTCTTTCCATTGCACAGCATGGCAGAGACAGAAGCCAGAAAACAGTTGCCGGGGCAGGAATTCCTCAGGACCGTCTTCCCTCTTCCAATCTAAGAAGAGATGGCATGAGAGGCGGAAGAGACCAAGGACCACCGAGGGTGGGGGAGAGGTCATGCCGTAAGCCATTCTGCCTCTGTCTTCTGCAGCCCAGGCCAAGGCAATGCTGAGGGTGGCAATGCTCTCCACCCCTCCTTTTGACCACTACTTCCCCCAGAGGTTGCAGGTGTTGCTATGGCTGGATGAAAGACCCAACAGGTCTAAAACCTGACTATGCAAAAGCAGAAGAGCAGGGCCTCAGGAACTTGCCCACATCCTGGTTACCTGGGAGCAGAGCTCCTGTGTGAGTGTGCAGTGCCAGCACTGCTGGAAATCCACCTCCACCCTGTTCATGACATTTCCACACAGGACCACTAGTACCAGATGCCTGACTTAGAATAGGGAGCCTCCCACTGTACACAACGGCTTGAGGGCTTCCATTCCAATGGGGCTGGACAGGGGCTCTTGCCCCAATTCCACAAAAGCGGCCACAGAGTCTGACTCCTGGTATTACAGGCCTCAAAAAGAGCCACCCTCTGCTGCACTTGGTCTCCTTCTTGTAATGCTTCAACACGCATTACATCACCTGGTAGCATCGAATGAAAGCTAAAATTACAATACGCAACACTATCAAAATCCTCTATCTTTTATCTACAAAGACTAAAAACGCACAACTAAGTCCTAGTGTGAGCTTCCAGAAAACCAACCAACCCACAATCTGGAGCTGGGTGTCCCAGTAGTTCTGCACATCAGAAAATATAACTATTGCAAGCTGCCAATTTAACAAAACAGCAGTATGCAAAGCAGGGCGCTTGGAGTCCATTTCCTCACACAGCCTCCTCACTGTTCGTAGGACCAAGAGGCCTTGTGGCATGAAGCTCGGCTTTCCCCTGCCCCTCAGCCCCAATGCCCAGACCCCCAACACCCCCAGCACTGGGGTCAGGGACAAAGCGGGACTCACCTTCAAGTCTTGAGCCACGTCTAGAATACGTGATAACTTTGCCTGGTCGTACTGTTCCCCTCTCATGTACCATTCTGCCATAGCGTGCATAATGAGCTGACGAATGGAAGGCGACTGACCCTAAGGAAACACCCGCACTTCAGACTTCTAGACAGGTTAGCAAGCCACCACGGGCACGGCCTCAGCAGCACGGCCTAGTCGCTCACTGCTCTGCAGTGCCGTGAACACAGGCCCGGATCGAAAGGGGTGGGCTGAGGAGAAAGCAAGAGTGCTTCGCCAGCACCACTTTGCTCCTCACCTGGTATCTCAGGCCCCGTGGTTCTTCCCCACCACAAACCCGGCCTGGGCTGGCCTCACCCTGCCCTTGGTCACACCTGCGGCAACACATCCATCATTTCCTGCCTCCCAGCCAAAGGCTCTGGGTTGCTTTGCAGACCCTTGCCAGCAGTGCTGTTGCGGAGCCTTCGGGGCAGCCCCACCTCCAACCCAGCTGGGTAACTGACAGGGGGGGCAACGCTGAGGCTGCCCACGCAACGCAAAAGCCCACCATGGGTCATGTAACCCACAGTGAGGCTCTGGTGTGCGTGGCCACCATTTTGAATATGAAATCCCTGCTCAGGGGTGCTTGTTTCCTGCAAAGTTGGAAAGCATGGGTTAAACAGCCCTCACATAATCCATGGCCCAGTTTAGCATTTAGATCCTCCCACAACCCAGGTTCACACAACATGATGATCCCCAAGTGGGCTGAGCACACAGCTGCAATGTCTGCTAAATTACTTGAGGAAACGCTCCCTAGAAATACGGGGATGAGCTCTCCTAGTTAACACATCTGTACACACTGGAAATGACAGGGGCAGAACCTGGGGCCTCAAGCAGCAGTTGCTACTGTTAACAGAAGGCAGTAGGTCCTGCATTTAAGACATATCCTAAGAAAGTAGTAATCACCCAACACAGGCAGAAATGTACAATTTCTGGAAATCCTGAAGTCATGTTTTGGTTTTGTAAAATGTGGGGAGAAATTGAAAAATAAGCAATACTTTTTCCAAGGACTACATGTTGCAAAACTGAGGACTGGAGCGTCCCTAAATAACTATAAGTAAAATATATATTAAACAATTTTGATAAGGAATGAAGGAAAAAACTATGATGGGAATCTGACACATATTCCCCATGGTTTCATTATTTCCAGAAATCGTACTTCTCTAGTCTTCCTATAAAAGTCTAACAGTTTTTAAAAATTATTTGGGTGCAGCAAAAGCTGGGTAGCAATATACAGGCACCTTGTCTTTTATTTGTCATTCTAAAGTAAAGCATTTTATGATCCAAAGCAATTCAATGTTGCAGTAAAAAAAGAAAAGATTGTTTCCTAATTTTTCCATACCTTCAAATCTCTAACACATTATGTGGGAAGCCCTACTAAAAATAATGATTCAAAACCACAAATTCAGGAGCACAATTGCACAGTTTTCTTTAAAGGAAGAATATTTACTGCCTCTACTTTCTAGTACATGAAATGCCAAAATGATCATGAACTGCATCCACTTGCAGTAGGAACAAAAGAGGCTTGTATAAGGGTTGCCTTACCGCATGTTTATTTATTTGTTCCATTTATAGACTGTTTCTCCCTCAAGGAGCAAGGGTGTTGTACATGATTGTCATCCTTCCAACTTTATCCTCACAACAAGCTGTAAGGGATTTTGGGCTCCAAATCAGTGGCATGCAATTGATTTATTTAAAACATTTTATATCTTGCCTCTCCATAAAGGCTTCTGCTGTGTGTGTGTGTGTGGGGGGGGGGAGTGTTCTCTCCAAGGAGACCAATAAAACAGCAAATGCATCACAGCTGACAAGGACTGAAACATCCAGCTAGTTTTGGGAGCCACAGCAGCTGGGCCAAGACTGGGCCAACACGCTTGCCCTATTGCAAGAACGCAGTAAGTAGCAAGGAAAATCAGCAGAAGAACTGGGGCACACGTGCATTCACTCTGGTCCCTCTTTCTCTCAGAAAAAGAATACACCCGTAACTGCCACACCAGCATTCCAACTGCAAGGTCGAATGAGAGAGCGGCAAGTTTCTCAGCATTATTTCAGAATGCCCAGGGCTGCAGCCAATATTATTCCTACTTGAAGTAGGCTCAGGGAAACGATCAATGCTCAAGTTAATGCGACCACCAGCTACAATCCTCAAACTCTGGTCACTCTCTCCAAGTGATTTCACAGTTGTGAAACGATACAGACACCTGACACGACAACCCTCGAGCAAAGGATTCCATTTGTATTCCACCCTTCTTTCAAGGAAGAGAACCGAGCTGCAAGGAGGGGCCATGGTACCTCTTGCTTGGATTCTGCTGCCAACCCGAGATCTCTGTAAAGCCCTTACCTGCCCATGCCATGCATAATGCAAGATGATGGCAGAGTTGGGGTGGTTGCCGAGGAAAATGGGCATAAGTGTGGAGATGAGTTCATGCCGTAAAGTATGCCAGGAAGTGTTGATTTGTAGTAAAGCCAAGACCAACATATCCGGACAGTGCTTGATCGGGAAACTGAAGAGTTGCTTAACCTGTTCATACTGCCCCACCTCTGCCAGCCGCAACAGGGATTCTATCAAATCCAGGCTCTTCCTGGTTTAAAAGAAAAAGGTAGACGCCCAAGAAGGTTGACAGCATTCTGGCTTGATGACTGACAGAACTGAGACATAAATATTAGATGAGACACTTCCAGATGGGCACATGGACTAGAACGTTCCCTTAGCAGTAGCCGTGGGATGATGGGCAGTGCACCGGAGCATGCTCAGCTAGAGGAGGCCACTTCAGACCTTTACAATACCTGGGAAAAGGAGCACGGCACATCAAAAGCACTGGGCCTGGGGCCACCAAAGCCGCTCTCCCCCCCTACAGTTTACCACTCCAGCTCTACCACTGAAAATTGAAGAACTGGGGTAATCTGCTGATTTTATGTGCCTGTCTTTTCCTCAGAACAGGCAGCCTATAGCACTATGCAAAAATAACAACACACGGAGAAACAGGTAGGGAAAGTACATGATGTACATTTAAGCTTAACAGCCTCTCCAAAAAAAAAATCAAGATTCAGCCTTCACAACTAGACCACAGTAAAGAGTATCAGCCGTTGCACCAGCTCAGAATAACTTAATATATATTGCTGCGGTGGCTCTCTTTAGATATGCATTTATGGATGGAGCAGATGCATTCGTGTCCAGAGCAGCTAGTTATCCATCCCAGCCGCACATACTTCCTCGCGTGCCATGTGTGTAATCCGGTGGTTCAAAGCCTTCTTTCCAAAATGCGACACTCAAAGGAGCAGTAAGGGGCCCTAACTACAATCAATTCTAGGTGCAGTAGTGCTTGCACTCCCAAGAAAAATAATACCGTTTACCATGTGGCGATTTCTCGATTGTCGTCCTCAGGTGGAGCTTTCAAGATGTCGGTGGCGACAGTATGACAGGGGTAGTCGGCGAAACAGAAGATCTCTGGGTTAATGAGGGAATGCTGGATGAATGAGAGCTGCAAAACAAACCCGCAAAAGCCACGTTACAGGAGGGTGCCTGTCTTTTCATCCTAAGTAAACATCTCCCCAATACTCCAATACAATTGGATTGTGTGCCCTTCACACTGTATTGTGGAGAAGGAGAAGATCTCAAGGGCAAGCCACACAAATCTCAACCTCTAAAGCAAAGATTCCATAACCCACATTTGGTAGTTGAACTAAAGCCCAAAACTGCACACTGATTTCACTCTATTAACTGTATTTCACTCTATTATTTCAACTCATAAGCATTTTATGTGCATATGAGTTGCATTATAGGAATGGTGGTGCTTTTCAAAGCTCTTCGCTGCCATGCTCCTTCAAAGTTCAATAGCATATCCTGGGCTGTTTTACACTTCACGATGAATTGATGCACTCATGGAGCGCCAAAAGCCATTTTGAATATGGAAGCTGCAGCAGCAGGAAGGAAGCACTTCAGATAGTTGTGCAGCTGTCACAGTCCTGAACCACCCTTGAAAAACTCCTGGGTTGTTTATAAGAGGCCTTTAAAATCCTCCATTAACCCATGACAGTCAGGTTCACATGACACAACAAGCTGTGGTGTGCCTCCTCCGATGTTCAAAATGTGGCCACCAGGTAACTTGAGGACCTGCACACAAACCAACCCCTGATGGCTCGCTCCAATGTGTGAACCAATGCATTGCCGTAACAAGCTTCAAATGTAAAGTGTTAAGTAACAACCAAAAGACAACATTTTTAATTCTAGGACTATACCACACTACATTCCTAAGAAATTAAAGGTTCAAGATTTAATTAGGCTGTTGTTCGTTCCTTCACATCCAGTACTATTAAGCCACAGGAGCAAACAAAACAAAGATGAAGATTTCCTAGTAGCTGCTTATATACCTGGCCTTCTGCGTGTTTCCAAGGTCTGTATATTAGATCAACTGGGAAGACTTCCAGTCCTAATCCCCTCTGGACACCATACACCACAATCTGCAAGCCCTTGCTATCCCGAATTTGAAATCCAGGGTGGTCCAGTTCATAGGTTACTTCCTTGAAGTTCAAGGTTGGGTTCTGCAAGGAGCAAAACAAATAACACTGATTTAATGTAGAGCATTCACTGCTATTTTCTCCAAGGAGGGCTACATTCAACAAGTATTTGCAGAGTTGAAAACCATAAGAAAAGGGCACCCAGTACACTTAGGGATGGGTGCATTTGCTGCTTTCTAGCCCTAAAATAATCATTATCAAACCAGGGAACAACAGTCAATGTATGATGACTTACGATACCAAGAAAATCCTCATTAAAAGCCGCCTGCCTGCATTTCTGACCCAACAGGACTTTCTGCTAGGAGTGGCTCTGTTCAAAAGCTAGAAGCCCATGAGCAGGTTATGTCACGATGCATCCCTTTAAAGTTTTGCCCGTATCAAACAAGTCTATTTAGTTGAATTTAACTTCCTTACTAAGCAAACTATATGCCACACAACACTGTCAAGGAAGCAATTAATGCAAGCCCTCTACATGTGCAGCCCATTAACAGAGCCTCCAAATCAAAGCAAGGATGAATTTACATGTGATGTAAAAGACTGCCATGGAACTAAACCGTGAAATGATAATCTATGTTGCAAACAGCTTATGGGAGCCGGATGTTGATCCAGTTACACTGGAAAGTGTTCCAGCCACTGAATTTGTATTTTGCTTTAAAGTGCGTATATTGGAAATTTTATGCTGTTCTGATTGCATGGGGTTTTTTATGAATTGTCATGAACTACCCACAGAACTTCTGCTATCAGATGGTAGAAAAACCCAAGCATATGCTTAGCTGAGTTGAAGACAAACACTGCATCATCCACAATGGATCGTTGCTAAAAAAGTGACAAGATGAATGACCTTGGGGCTCAAAGTCCAGTCATTTATTTACATAAACAGGATCCTATCACTGTTATGCAGACACCCATGTGCAAGGGACCCAAAAGTGGACAACCAACAGCCAGTTCGTGTAACAGCCCAGTGCCCTCACACACCTCACAGCTCCTCCTTCATGATCAGACATGTGTGGACGGGGGTTCTAGTCCCATACCCTCCCTCCTTATATCTCTAGATAATAACTATCTAGAAGCAAAAGGAACCTTGCCTTGGTTAAAAGCTGTCCAAGTTAATTTGGCTATATATTCGAATACCTATAGAAAATATTGTCATCCATTTTTTAAAAACAAATCGGCATGTGACAAACAATGGCATCAAGTCCACCGCTGAATGGCACTTCCACTTGCACGCTCGGATTGCAAAAGATGCCTCCGTATCAAACATTACTGTGTAAGCACCAACATACCAGCTCCTTAAGCACGTCAATCAGAACCTCTACATTCCATGTATGGGTTTGCGTTCCATCATTTTTATCCCTTCCATCGCTCCAAATTCCACTTCCAGGAGCAGAGATGGACTGCAAATTAAATATAGAAATATGTTAATAACATCCCTAGTATTGTCAATTGTGCAAAAAGATACAGGTGAACAATCAAGAAACATGGTCAACTGAAAAAGTGGAGTATGAATTTATGGTTTACACATTTATTTCTGTAGGTCACCTGTGGTTCATAATGCATTGTAAGCTGGTCCCTGAACTATGACCAAAATAGATTAAGAGATAAAGGATCAAGATCCAGCTTCTCCTGGGCTTGGACCAAGCTCCACTGAATATACACAGTGATGGGGGAGGAGCATGTTTAGCAGTGAAATTCAGAAGATTGCCACGCCAGAAGGAAGCGGGATGTCAGAAAGAAGTGGGGGATGTAGACAATGGTTTGGGTGGCTTGCTGAATCTCATCATGTACAGACTTAAGTGTGAACACAAGGGAGAAGATGTGTCAAAAGACGAGAGGGGTGTGTGAGGGGTGGAGATGGCAAACGCAAGGTTAGATCCAGATTTGGTTATAATTAAGAGGCGACCTGTTTAGAATCAATGGGGATATACCTACAGTCCCACTGATTTCAATGGGTCTAAGGCAAGTATGCCTAAATCTGATCCCTCCCCCAGGTATTTACTATAATTAAGAGAAACAAACCATCTTTCTCTATCAGATGAAGTGTAATTCTTCACCAGAAGAATATCACTGTGGCAAAGAATTTATCCATTTCCAAGGAGTGATAAGACCTCAAGGGTATAAGGTCCTTCCGAAAGAGCAATCCCTAAACAAAGCGAGTGGGATGCCGAACAGAAGAAGGGCCTTCTCAGTGCCTGCCCCCCACCTTTGGAATAGTTTTCCTAGAGAGGTCTGCCTGGGGCCATCACTGCTTTCATTTCGGTGCCTGGCAAAAAAACTGTCCTTTTTCATAGGCATTTTAAAAACTGATCTTAACAGCTGATTGTTTTAAGATTTCTTGCACTATCGGCAGTTGGTTATGTTTTTTTAAATCTAAGAATCGTAATATTTTTGTCTTGTATTTTATTGTTGTCCCCTTCATGGATCAACTGCCTTGTTGTGACGAAGGAGCTTGTGTAGCTCAATGAAGCTGTGAGCTCTGCCGTGCAGGGCCACCCAAGACGGACAGGCCATAGCAGAGAGCTCTGACAAAACGTGATCCACTGGAGAAGAAAATGGCAGCCCACTCCAGTATCTTTGCCATGAAAACCCCATGGACAGTACCAAAGGGCAAAGGGACACCGGAAGATGAGCCCCTCAGGTCGGAAGGTGTCCAATATGCTACTGGGGAAGAGCGGAGGGCTAGTACTAGTAGCGCCAGAAAGAATGAAGCGAGTGGGTCAAAGCCGAAAGGACACTCAGTTGCAGATGTATCTGGTGGTGAAAGGAAAGTTCGATTCTGTAAAAATCTATACTCCATAGGAACCTGGAATGTAAGATCCATGAATCAAGGCAAGCTGGACGTGGTCAAACAAAAGATAACAAGACTGAACATCGACATCTTAGGAATCAGTGAACTAAAATGGACAGGAATGGGTGAATTTAATTCAGATGACCATCAGGTATACTATTGCAGGCAAGAATCCCTCAGAAGAAACGGAGTAGCCTTCATAGTCAATAAAAGAGTAGGAAAAGCAGTACTGGGATACAATCTCCACAATGACAGAATGATCTCAGTTCGAATCCAAGGCAAACCATTCAACATCACAGCAGTCCAAGTCTATGCCCCAACCACTGGTGCTAAAGAGGCTGAAGTTGACCGGTTCTATGAAGGCCTACAACACCTTCTAGAATTGACACCAAAAAATGACGTCCTTATCATCATGGGGGATTGGAATGCTAAATAGGAAGTCAAAAGATAACCAGTCTGATTATTCAGAGAGCAATTGATCAATCAATCTCAAATGAATATTATGTCAGTAACTGCCCACTGATCAAGCCACACTCCACCTCCAGCCACCTCATTTTGTGACTGGCTCTGCCTTCACACTAGTTTTTGTGAGAGTAATTTTCAGCCTTCTCAAATGGACTCCGATGGGCAGAAAGTTTCAGAACCCTTGTTCTACTGCACATCATTGATATACGAAAGTAGCAGCCTCTGCGGCAGTAAGGAACACCAGTGGCTCCTTTGGTAACTGGCAGAGGGTCCCAGCACTGACGGTGGGACCCTGGAACCCAGCTGAGCCAGCAGAAACCTTGACCAGAGGGCCGCCTAAGCGCAGGAAGCTCGAATGCCAGGTTGCCACAGGATTTGCACTGGGAGCTTTACAGATCAGGCACCATTTGCTGCTGCAAA